TTATTTATTTTTCTGATCCCAACCAAAAAGCATTATTACAATCTTACAAGAAACTAAGTTTTTTTTTAAAAAAAAATCAATTATTTATACCTATGCCAGATTTGAGGCAATAGTCTTGCAGTTGAATTGTGTTATATGCAACCAATATCTACCATTTGTGTTGTGTTAAATAAGGTGTTTTCCCCTCAAAATCATGCTGTAGTTACCTTTTTAAAAACAAAACAATTATGCAAAAGTGGCTCAGCGGCTAAGACGCTGAGCTTGTCGATCGAAAGGTCAGCAGTTCAGCAGTTTGAATCCCCAGTGCCGCATTATTGGGTGAGCTCCCGTTACTTGTCCCAGCTTCTGCCAACCTAGCAGTTTGAAACCACAGTTTGAAACCATAAAAAATGCAAGTAGAAAAATAGGGACAACCTTTGGTGGGAAGGTAACAGCATTCTGTGTGCCTTTGGCATTTAGTCATGCCGGCCACATGACCACGGAGACATCTTCGGACAGCGCTGGCTCTTCAGCTTTGAAACGGGGATGTGCACCACCCCCTAGAGTTGGAAATGACTGGCACATATGTGCAAGGGGAACTTTTACTGTTACTATTCTCTACACAATTGTACAAAAATTACCACCTTGGCAGAAAATCATCTTTCTGTAGCCAGCAAAAGTCTAGGTTGCTTAAAAAAATTATGAAAATAAGTTCAACTAACTTCCATACAGTTATATATGACCATACAGCTATTTTCATTAACTGTAGTCTGCACCAATGAGCTGCACCCCAAATGTATATGGAAAATATTTGGTTAAACCTTCTTGGCCACCTAATAGCTTTGACATTAACACTGGAAATTTTGCCTTTGGCTGCTTTGAGGTTAAATTTTCCCACTTTGACTCAATGTAGACTTAGATTTGGGAATGTGACCCAGTTGACAATATCAAATCCTGCTTCCAGGTTTCCATTTTGATCAAAGGAGATCATTTCCCCAACACTATTATTAAATGAGACTTTTCTTAGAAAGTGATGGAACTAATTGAAAGTGGAAAGAAAGGTAAGCAATACATGAACACAAAAATAATACCAATTAAAAGGTGGAAATATTCTACAAGATAGAAACACCAATGTCTACTCAAACTATCCATAATCATGATTAAATATAGTTAATATGTTGGCCAATATTTGTTTACTTGTGCAGTAGTGGCCAAAATTGTGGAAACCTTTTGGGAAAAGTATATTTTTTAAAACTAGCACTTTGTTTGGAGTAGTACTATAAAATTATATATCAATGGAAAGATAATTTAATCAAGAACGTAATGCAATATCACTAAGTGTTGTATCTTATGATTCATGATGAATGTATTTATGATGACTATGATCATGATCTATCACTTATATCTCTGATGTACACTGAGAGCTTATGCGCCAAGGACAAATTCTTTGTATGTCCAATCACACTTGGCCAATAAAGAATTCTATTTCTAATAAGGGAATATTTCTGAAAGGAAATGGGACATGACCTTGGCTATGTATGGAGGGATCTACCAACTCTATATCTTAGCAAAAACTACAATGTAGTCATTAGTAGCATGGCCTACTAATATTGTAGAGATAAGATTTAGATTAGTTGAGCATCCAAGCTTTGGGCGATAATGGGCAGGTGAGTTTCCCATTACTGTATTTTTAGCCAATAGCCAAGAATACTACTTATTGCAAGTTCAATTTATTCCATGCACAACATTCAAATACCAATTTGATATTGTTAGGGATTGCTTTTCTGACTTACATTTTTGACAGCTTTTGCTTATCTTTCATTTCACAATGCCTACTGAAAGGTAGGATGTTTTTCTAAGAGAAAATAAGTACTCACCAGTCTTCCTTCATTGTACCAGGAATGTGAAATGGGCAATTCTTACATTCATAAAATTATAAAATTAAAATAAATTAAAATGTGTGTGAGCCACCCAGAGTTACCCTAGGGTAAGATCCAGAAATATTTCACAAGAAGAATCCTCCACTCCTCTGCTCGTAACAAAATACCCTATGCCACCAGACTTGAAATTCTGGGTTTAGAAAATTTAGAACTATGCTGCCTTTGGTATGACCTAAGCATAGCTCATAAAATCATCTGCTACAATGTCCTACCTGTCAATGACTACTTCAGCCTCAACCACAACAATACACAAGCACACAATAGATACAAACTTAAAGTGAACTACTCCAAACTCGATTGCAGAAAATATGACCTCAGTAACAGAGTTGTTAATGCCTGGAATGTACTACCTGACTCTGTGGTTTCATCCCCAAACCCCCAAAACTTTAATCTAAAACTGTCTACTGTTGACCTCACCCCGTTCTTAAGAGATCTGTAAGGGGCGTGCATAAGAGCACCAGCGTGCCTACTGTCTCTGTCCTAATGTTCCCTTTAATTGTATTCATTTTATGTATTCAATTCATGCTTACACTTATATATAGTATCTGATATGTACTCGACAAAATAAATAAATAAATAAATAAATAAATAAATAAATAAATAAATAAATAAGATGGGTAGCCAACAAATGTTATTAATTAATTCTCTTAAAATGAATGGTAAGTTACAGAAGGACAATAATGAGAATGAGAATAACATGGCACAATGAAGGGATTTAAATCAGTCTTAGTTTCCCCACCCAGCGAATCTTTAGCTGATAACTTGCTTGGGAATATTGTCTAAATTGCTATGTTAACTGTTCATAATTTTAATGGATGAAAATTCTGGCCCATTTAATCTTAAAGAATAGTGTGTTCCTATCCTATTTGATTGAAAATTCGAAAATAGGGAGAACCTCATAACCTTAAATATTTGGTACAAGGTACCAATTGCTTACATGAGCTTGTCAAGGACTTCAGAAGAGGGGTGTCTTTCAAAACTGAGAGGATTGGAAAACATGTAACTTTGTGAACTAATGCCAGCTATGATAAGATCCCTTGATTGGTAATATTTATAATTGATTTTCTGAGGGTCACTAATTATGCATTTATTAAGTGGAATGTCACACGTCATCCAAGGAAGTAGCAGCAGTATCAAAAGAATAAACTTCATCGTCATGAATACACATCTTCTCCTTAACTTCAAGTCACCTGTTCTTTTCCAGTCATCCAAATGCTGTTGTTTTGCACGGCCAGCAATGTCTATTTCATTAGTATATCCAGGGCACCCAATAACTTCAAAAGCCTTGCTCTAAATATTTCAGTCCAGATTAAGAAGGCTCTTCAATGATTCTCGGTTTTGCTAGTCACTATCAGAAAATCCCTTGTCCTCTAAAGGAGTTGTCCAAGTAATTAGCACCAGTTGGATAATTATGGGGAATTCAAACATTTACTCATCATTAGAAATTCTTTCCCATGTAGAAGTAGGAAATTATTTTCTAACCTATTATTTCAGCAAAGGTTTTCTCTTTTCCTAAAAAGTTTCAAAATAATGTGACTTCCTAAAACTTCCATTGAGGACCTGTATACTGCATGAGTCAAAAAGAGGGCTGTGAAAATATCTACAGACCCCTCACATCCTGGACATAAATTGTTCCAACTTCTACCCTCAAAAAGACGCTATAGGGCACTGCACACCAAAACAACTAGACACAAGGACATTTTTTCCCCAAATGCCATCACTCTGCTAAACAAATAATTCCCACAACACTGTCAAATTAACTACTAAGACTGTATTACTATTCTTCTCATCCTTCCTAGTACCTATCTCTTCCCACTTATGGCTATATCCATGTTGCCTGTATCTTTACAACTTACTGTATTTTTTGGACTATAAGATGCACCGGTGTATAAGACGCACCAAGATTTTGAAGAGGTAAGCAAGAAAAAAAATGTTTTTTCCCTCCCCAGCCCTGAGGAGCACTCTGCAGGCCTCCCAAACCTCTGCACGCCCTGTTTTCATTTCACAAAAATGAGACCCACAAGGTGGGGCTTCGGGAGGCCAAAAATGGCTATGTATATAACAGCTAACCTCTAGTTTAACTAGATTCTAGGCTTAAAACACTTAGGACCAGGCTTAGGACCTGGTTATCTATGGGACCGCCTGCTACCACCAATAGCCTCCCACCGGCCAGTACGCTCCCATAGAGAGGGACTCCTCCGGGTGCCATCGGCCAAACAATGTCGGCTGGCGGCCCCCAGGGGGAGAGCCTTCTCTGTGGGGGCACCTACAATCTGGAACGAGCTCCCCCCGGAGATACGGAGGATCCCGGATCTTCGCACCTTCCATCGCACGCTTAAAACGTTTTTATTTCATCAAGCTGGCCTGGCCTAAATCTTCTCCTCTTTTAAATTTAAATTTTAAACATAAATTTTTAATCTGTTTAATTATGGGGTATTTTAAAATTCAGCCTAAATTATTTAATTTGTTTTAATTTGTTTTAGATTTTGTATTTCCTGTGTTTTATCTTCTGGCTGTTCACCGCCCTGAGTCCTTCGGGAGAAGGGCGGTATAGAAATTCAATAAAATAATAAATAAATAAAATAAATAAAATGTAATTTAATAAAGTAAAAAAATGTAGGCCTGCCGGAAGGCATCTGAAGGTGAAATGGAGGCCGGGGCAATGCATGCAAGTGGCAGCAAGCGGCTGAAGAAGAAGTGGGCCAGGGGCGTGCTCCTGCTGGGTGGGGCCGTTGGTGCCATCACCAGAAGGTGAGTCAATAATTAGAACACTCAAAAAAGAAGGCCTAGCCATTTTTTCAGGGGTAAAAAAAAAAAAAAAAAGACCCGGCCTTCTTTTTGGAGAAACACGGTATATCATTCAAGAATTCTTGTTTACACTCTCAAAGTATGAAACTACAAAATTTAGGAACCACATCTGTTAAATATTCTGACTCATTGAATGTAATGGCTTCAGGGGGCAGATCACTAGTTTAAAGCTTTCACACTCAGGAAGTTTGTTCATACATTGTGGTAAATCATTCTCTAGATTACCTATAGCCACGATTGAATGAAGCAATATAGAACATTTTATATTTTATTATTACTTTTATTATTACTTATACTTAGTTATTCTGTTTAAAAAACATTTAGGCCACTTGTCATTGCAACACAGAGTGGTTTTGTCACAAATCTAAATTCTATTGTGTACAAGGAGATTGATTCCTTTAATCAGTTTATGCGGATTTTTCTTATGAGTTGTTGCCTGTTATTCAGCTCAGGTCTTATCAAGATGATGTAAACTTTGGGAGAGAAAATGAGGATCAGTAATCCAGCACTTGAGGCTAAGATGGTGAAGATCTCCACAGCCACCATGTATTTCCCTTTGGTGCTTTGGTAGGCTGGGACAAAAGAGATCCAGACACTGCAAAAGAGAAGCATGCTGAGGGTAATAAATTTGGCTTCATTGAAAGTGTCTGGGAGTTTCCTGCCAAGGAAAGCCACTGTAAAGCTGATCTTGGCCAAGAGTCCAATGAAACCCAGCATGCAATAAAACATGGCATCAGAGCCTTCGTTGCACTCCAGTACCATTTCTGTAGGCAGAGAATGCATATCAAGATCTGGGAAGGGAGGAGAGCTCATCAGCCACACAATACAAAGAGTGGTTTGAACGAGAAAGCAGGAAGGCACCATAAAGAGGGCCAATCTTTTCCCCACCCATGACCTCATCTGGGAGCTTGGTCTGGTGGCCATGAAAGCTAGGACCACAGTGAGGGTTTTGGCCACCACACAAGAAACTGCCAGAGAGAAGATGATTCCAAAAGCAGTTTGGCGAAGGAGACAAGTTGCCCTCTGAGGCCGACCAATGAAAAGCAAAGGGCAGAGAAAGGAAAGCAGAAGGGAGACCAGGAGGGTATAGCTGAGGCCCCGGTTGTTGGCCTTGACAATGGGAGTGCCCTTGTGTTGAATGAAAACTGCAAGGACCAGGACTGTGATGGAGGAAAATAAAAGAGCAACAATAGTCAAAGTGATTCCCAAAGGTTCTTGGAAAGATAGAAAGCTGATCTCTTTTGGTATGCACTGATCCTGGGCTTTGCTGGGATAGTGATCTTCTGGACACTGGTAGCAAAAATCTTTATCTGAAAAGGAAAAAATAAAAATAAACAAAGTTTGTTATTAAGAATTTAGCCTGTCTAGTCAAGTTACAAAGAATGGCTCAGTACATAAAATGAGCTCCAAATAATAATAAATATTCCAATAAAATTTTTATTGGAATAAAAATTCCAAATAAAAGGGGGAATGGTTAAAATTGCATCAATTTCAAGTAACTGGGTTTCCATGAGGTACTATGCATGGCTCAAACTAGCATCTATTTGTTATTGATGTATTAAGTACTGTATATATGCACCTTTCCTTCAGAGGATCTAAACAATACACCTAGCCCTCTGTGTCAGATCTAGAAGCCATCTTTTGTATTGGGCCTTCAGGCCTGCCACATTTATTGCTGTGGGAAATTGGGAGGGGGGATTGTATGGAGCAAGGGTGATATTTATTTATTTATTTATTTATTTATTTATTTATTTATTTATTGTTTATTATTTATTGTTTCAATTTATATGCCACCCTTTTCCAGAGACTCAGGGCGGCTTACAATGCATTAAGCAATAGCCTTTATACTTTTGTATATACCTGCTTAGTAGGGCTTTCGCCCACCACCACCCCCAAAGTGGTGTTCTTTTTTATACAAAGTCAGCTTATTGCCCCCACAAACCGGGTCCTTATTTTACCTACCTTGAAAGGATGGAAGGCTGAGTCAACCTTGAGCCTAGTGAGATTTGAACTTGCAGTAATTGCAGGCAGCTGGTGTTAACAGTGCATTAGTCTGCTGCGCCACCAAGGCTCTTTTAGTCATAATAACTATTATTATATAGTCATAATAACATTCCTTTCTCAGAGAGTCAAGGCCGTCTTGCCCTGCACCTGGGAGGCTGGATCTGGGAGGAATCTGCAGTTGGGATGGTGGTTTGATTGGATTATGTAATGGACTTGTGGGTGTGGGCTGTTGTGGACTGCCAACAGTCTGCGGAGCTGGCAGCAGAGTTGGACAATGAGGAGGCTGGGGAGGACAATAGGCCAGTCCTGGAGTAAGTGGAAGGCCCAGACGAGGGCTCTGTGTTGTAGGCAGAGATGGGGCCAGGGCCATCTGGAAGCGATGCATAGATTCCGGAGCCTCCAGAGGCAGATAACAGAGAGGCAGAGAAACAGGAGGAGACTGTTCCTAGTGCACACATGCAAAGATCTGCCAGAAGGCAAGAGCAGTTAAAGCAAAAGGAACAACTTGGAATAAGGCCAGGAGATGATTGGCCCCTTCCAAAAGGTTAAAAGAGCAGCAACGGCTCTTGGGATCTTTGTAGGAAAGCAACGTTGCTACATTTGTTTCTTGTCAGCATCTCTTGCTTCTGAACTTTTGCCAAGAAAAGCCTTTGGCAAGGTGCCAAAGAAGACAATGTTTGGTGATAAGGCCGAAGGACTGTTTATAAAGAATTTGTTTTGGACTTAATTTGGACTAATCTGAGAATGAAGTAATTCTCAGCTGTTCTAATAAAATATGTTTGTTTAGGGCTGATTGTGTCTGGTAATAACTACTTGGGCCTAGGTCACAACATGGGCAGGAACTTGAACTTTTGTTTGAGTGGGGAAAACCTGGGAACTTTCAGATTTGGGTTTTCCCAGATGTGCCAATATGACATCTCTAATAAAATGTAGCTTTGAGGAAATTCAAGCCTCAGAGTTTTCTTTCATTGGGGGTGTTACTTGAAACCCTGACACTCTGCTTTCTAGCTTTTAGTGGAACAAGAATTCAGTGAGACAATTTAGGGAGAGGGCCAAGGTGACCATGATGTTCCATGAGTTAAGGGGGACTGGAACCGGAGTCTCACTGTTAGTCCATCATGCAGAAGATGGGCAGATTTGTCTTTTTCAGCTGCCACTGCTCCGCTAGTTTGAAACATTTAAAAAAAGTTCCACATTTATTCCTTAGAGATGTAAACCCATTTCATTAAAAGTACTAGGTAGAAACCGAGGACCCAAAATACAATTTCATTTATTTTCATTTAAAAAAGACATTGTTGATATGTGTTTTGCTTCAGATAATCTTTTCTATTTGTTTATCTTGAGAAAAGAATAACAACAACAGTCCTCCCACCCAGTGATGGGTTGCCCCTGGTTCGGACTGGTTCGCAAGAACCAGTAGTAAAACTGGTGGGAGGTTCTGCCCACTGACCCAGATGTCATCAGGAAGCTTCTGTGCATGTGTAGAAGACTGTGCACGCACAGCCCCATTGTGAACTGGTAGTAAAAGTAAGGAGAACCCATCCCTGCTCCCACCCCATGTATAAAAAGTAGCATGGTAAACAGGAAGGATTTGTACATATAGTTTTCATTCTGCTCCCATCTTACAGATGAGATCGAGTTGGATGACTTTGGGCCAGTTACTTTCTCTCATCCTATCCAATCTCACAATAATCTTTTTGTGAGGAAAATAGGAAGAGGAAGGACTATTGTGCATGTTCACCAGCTTGAGTTAGTTTTAAAGTAATTCTCAAAGGTCCAAGTTCTGGACCAAAACCACAATCAGGATGCCAATTGCGGTTAACCTTCTCAAGATACTCCAAGATGGCACCACCAAAGGCTGCCTCGGTGAAATGCTCTCTAATGGTTTCTTTATTTTTAATTATTCTTTGTGACTCACTACAGATTTCTTACTCACGAAACCATCTGCTAAAAATTAAGCAACATTTCCTTAAGGAGCAGCTTTCTGTGATCTCACCCCCCCTGTCTTTACAAATGCAGAAGAGATTCTAACAGGAAGAAGCTATTTCCCCGGAGCCATGGATTACCAAAAAAAACAAAAACAAATGGAGGAAGCAGAGAAAGGGAGGTAAAAGGGCAAGAATTTTAAACAGATTAAGGAATAGGAGAAATAAAACTCCTCTGCCTTCAATTTTCCTAACCAATGTACATTCACTTGCTAATAAGATGGATGAAATATTCCTTTTAAACAGATACAATTCTGATTTTTACAATTCAGCAGCCCTATGCTTCTCTGAAACCTGGTTAAATGAATCAATTGAAGATAGCAGCCTGCATATCCCAGGGTTTCAGATTCAATGATCAGACAGAATTGCATAAACATCTGGTAAAAAGAAGGGAAGAGGCTAATGCTTATATATCAACAACAGCTGGTCTCAGGATATAACTATAATATATAAATTCTGTGACGAAAATCTAGAGACATTAATTATCAACTGCAAACCATACTATTCACCTCGTGAATTTTCCTCATTTCTTCTAATTGCTGTTTATGTCCCACCACAAGCCTGTGTAAACATGGCATTACGAACTCTAACTGACCAAATTATGGAGGTTGAAGCCAAATACCCCGATTCACTGGCCATTATTTTGGGAGATCTAAACAAGGCAAACTTAAGGAAAGAGCTACCAAAATACTTTCAGCATGTCAATTGTCCCACTAGAGGCAAGAATACTTTAGACCATTGCTACACAACACTAAAAGATGCTTATTGGTCCTTACCATAAGCAGCTGTGGGGCACTCTGATCATTGCATGATTCACCTTGTACTTGCTTACAGGCAAAGACTTAAAACCACAATACCAACAATTAAATCAGTGAAGACCTGGACAGAGGAGGCAAAGTTAAAGCTACAGGCCTGCCTTAACTGCAATGATTGGAATGTTGTTGAAAGTACCTCTGCAGACTTAGATGAACTCACAGATATGATGTAACATCATATGACAGCTTCTGTGAAGACCTATGTGTACCCACTAGGAACTTGTGAATTTACAGTAACAGCAAACCTTGGTTCACAGCTAAACTTAAGCAGCTACGTCATTCCAAAGAGGAAACCTACAGAAAAGGTGATAAAATGCTGTACAATCAGGCCAGAAATGTATTAACAAGGGCTTTCAGAGCAGCAAAAAGAAGCTACTCTGAAAAGCTAAAGAATCAGTTCTCAACAAATGAACCAGCAAACTCTTAAAAATATCACCGGCTACAGCAAACCTCCCTCCCAGACTGAAGGAAATCAGCAACTGGCAAATGACCTGAATGTGTTTTACTGCAGGTTTGAAAGGAAACTACAGCCACCTAATCTCCACAACCCCCATCTCAGACACACCAACAGCCAAGCCTCCTACAACTGACCCAGTGGTGAAATGTAAAATTTGTTACTACTGGTTCTGTGGGCATGGTTTGTGGTGGTGGGTAATGTGACTGGGTGGGCGTGGTCAACTTTTTTTTTTAACTTTTAAAAGCATTTTTTCTACAACATCTTCGGCCAAAGAGGTTGGAAAAAAATGCTTTTAAAAGGCTCTGATGATCAGGCAACTCAGCTGGGATCATCAGAGCTTCTTAAAAGCATTTTCCTACAACCTCTTCAGCCAAAGAGGTTTTAGAAAAAATGCTTTTAAAAGTAAAAAAAAAAAGCCTTTGATGATAGCGCGGCTCAGCTGGGCATGGGGGGTGGTGGCAGGGATTTTTGCTACTGGTTCTCCGGACCACCCACTGCCGTCACTACCGGATCAGGCAATCTGGTCCAAACTGGGAGCATTTCACCCCTGACCCCATCCCATTGAGTTCACAACCCCTAGTGATCACAGAAAAGGAAATACAAGACCTATTTCACAGACAAAAGTCAGGAAAAGCTCCAGGCCCATACAAGGTAACTCCTTCTTGCTTAAAAGTCTGTGCTGACCAATTGACCACCATCTTCACCCATATCTTCAATAAATCACTAAAGATGTGCTATGTTCCTTCTTGCTTCTAATGCTCTACTATCATCCCAGTGCCGAAGAAGCCCACCATCAAGGAACTGAATGATTGCAGACCAGTTGCTCTAACATCTGTAGTCATGAAAACCTTTGAAAGGCTAGTGCTGTCCCACTTGAAAACCATCACAGATCCGCTGTTAGACTCCTTGCAATTTGCATATTGAGCAAATAGATCAACAGATGATGCTGTTAATATGGCTCTGCACTATATCCTATAAAACCTTGAATCTCCAAAGACCTACACAACGGTCCTCTTTGTACACTTTAGTTCAGCATTCAATACCACCATTCCAGACACACTTCTAACTAAGCTAAACCAGCTACAGGTACCTGAACACACTTGTAAGTGGATCACAAGCTTCCTAACCAATACCTGTACAATTAGCACAGGGGCCCCCCAAGGCTGTGTGCTCTCCCCGCTTTTCTTCTCTCTATATACCAATGACTGCATCTCTAACAATCCATCTGTTAAACTACTGAAGTTCGCAGATGACACAACAGTGATCAGTCTCATTCGAGGCAATGATGAATCCGCATACTGATGGAAGATTGAGCAACTAGCCTCGTGGTGTGATTGGAACAATCTGGAACAGAACACACTCAAAACTATAGAAATATGATAAACTTTAGGAGAAACCCTTCCATACTTCCACCTCTCACAATACTAGACAACACAGTATCAACTGTAGAGACCTTCAAATTTCTAGGTTCTACCATATTGCAAGATCTAAAATGGATAGCTAACATCAAAAATGTCATTAAAAAAGCACAACAAAGAATGTTCTTTCTGCACCAACTCAGAAAGCTCAACCTTCCCAAGGAACTGCTGATACAGTTCTACGGAGGAATTATTGAATCTGCCATCTGCACCTCTATAACTGTCTGGTTTGGTTCTGCAACCCAACAAGACAAACACAGACTTCAGAGGATAATTAGAACTGCAGAAAAAACAATTACTACCAACCTGCCTTCCATTGAGGACCTGTATACTTCATGAATCAAAAAGAGAGCTGTGAAAATATTTACAGACCCCTCACATCCTGGACATAAACTGTTTCAACTCCTACCCTCAAAATGACGCTATAGAGCACTGCACAACTAGACACAAGAACAATTTTTTCCTGAATGCTATCACTCTGCTAAACAAATAATTCCCTCAACACTGTCAAACTATTTACTAAGTCGGCACTACTATTAGTCTTCTCATCATTCCCACCACTCATCTTCGTCCACTTATGACTGTATGACTGTAACTTTGTTCCTTGTATCTTTACAATTTATATTGATATTGTTTTCTGATTGCTTATTTGTACCCTATGACTATCATTAAGTGTTGTACCTTATGATTCTTGATGAACGTATCTTTTCTTTTATGTACAAATAAAAAATTCTATTCTATTCTATTCTATTCTATTCTATTCTATTCTATTCTATTCTATTCTATTCTATCTAATCCTATCCTATCCTATCCTATCCTATCCTATCCTATCCTATCCTATTATTCAATGGTTTATTGAGCCAGAATCTTGGCACACAATAAGTTCAGACAAAACAAAGCCTCTGCCTCCCAACTTCCTATGAAGGCTGGAGCCGTGCCCTCTCTCCAGCTGATCTGGCCGAACAACCAGCAAATGCTGTCAGCTGTTCAGTGGCATGCAGGCAAACATGATCAGCTGTTCGGCAGCTTTGCCTCTGGACCGGTCTCTCTCGCCGCTCACCGCTCTTGCCCTTGTCGATTGTAGTTCCGGATGCCAATGCTGTTTGTTCATGAGTCCCACCACCCACCCTCCCCCTTTTGTCGCACCCCTGAGATGGTGCTTGGATTTGTCGCTGTTTTGGGGGTTGACAGTAATAAAGGCAAAATAAAAAGATGAAATAAATACATAAATTTCATATATAAATATGAAATCAAACTTTGATACCTCCAAAATCATTACAACATTCATTGTAACGCAGATAGATATGGATGTATTTTAAGCCATTATATAAAAAGAAAATTTAAAAATCAAGCTAATTCCCATAAGATTAGAAACTTGGATCCCTGTTTTCAGATCTCTCTTCCAGATCTGGATAAACAATTGGATCAAGTCCCTATCCCAAAAGGGATCCACAGAGAGGAAATTATGAATTCCATAGTGTAACTCTTGTGATGGAAATTCTACTTTTTAAACTTTACTACTGGACAATGCACTGGATCCTGAAGATGCCTCTGGCATTCTATCAGAGTGTGCACAGTTTGACTATGTGAGACAACCCAGGAGCAAATACAATAAACTGAGGTTTGCATTTTAAATAGTGGTTTTATCTACAAAGAATATATACATACAGATACTTTAGTCAGATCTCAGACAAACTGCAATCAGCAATTACAGCACGGAAGCACATACGGAGAGAGAGAGATGCTACAACAGGGCCTCTTCTTATTACAGGCTCTTAAAGTGGTATCAGCCCAAAAACCTCGCTGACTCATTCTCAGCATTACATCATCGTAGCAGTTGGTCAGCTCTTAAATCCTTACCCTGACACATTCTCACAATGGAGAAGACCAACTTCTATTCAGCCTGATCTTTATGTGAGGTTTTACAAATACCACCACCTTCTTCCACATTCAAACTCAATCCATGATAGCCTTACCCATCTGGTTTGAAACTTTTCCTTTTGGGCATGGAAGGCAATTGTAACAACAAAATGGCTTCCCTTCCTTCTTGCTCTTGCTGTGACCTTTATGGCAAGGTTCATTGCACAAAGACAGAGGTTGAGTCTAGGCACAAAGAGAAGACAACAAGGCAGAATCCTTAAATATTAGGTTATTACTGAGATAGCCACATAACAGTAGTTCTAATTTGGTAATCAGAATAACGCAGTAGTTTGAGAAAATGAAGAGAAGAGAAGAGAAGAGAAGAGAAGAGAAGAGAAGAGAAGAGAAGAGTTGGAAGGGACTTTGGAGGTCTTCTAGTTCATCCCCCTGCCCAGGCTGGAAACCCTACACCACTTCAGACAAATGGTTATCCAACATCTTCTTAAAAATTTCCAGTGTTGGGGCATTCACAACTTCTGCAGGCAAGTTATTCCACTGATTAATTGTACTAACTGTCAGGAAATTTCTTCTTAGTTTTAAATTGCTTCTTTCCTTGATTAGTTTCTACCTATTGCTTCTTGTTCTACCCTCAGGTGCTTTGAAGAATAGTTTGACTCCCTCTTCTTTGTGGCAGCCCCTGAGATATTGGAACACTGCTATCATGTCACCCCTAGTCCTTCTCTTCACCAAACTAGACATACCCACTTCCTGCAACTGTTCTTCGTATGTTTTAGCCTCCAGTCCCTTAATCATCTTTGTTACTCTTCTCTGCACTCTTTCTAGAGTCTCAGCATCTTTTTTAACATCGTGGCGACCAAAGCTAAATGCAATATTCCAAGTGTGGCCTTACCAAGGCATTATAAAGTGGTATTAAAGTCCCAAAGATGCTTTTTCAAGAGGCAACTGGGCTTTCTTGTTTTCTTTGAAGATGTTTCACATTTCAAAATGTCTTCAAAGAAAAACAAGGAAATCCAGTTGCCTCTTGAAAAAACACTGTTGGGACAACTATGTCCTGGATGACTGAGAATCTCCACAGACATTTAGTTTGAGAAAGGGATGTACACAGAGCAAATGCCTCTAAATCAATACATTTAATTTCTATCCCAACCAAAAGCTATTATTACAGTCCTGTAAGTCACTAAATCATAAACATAATAATCTAATCCAAACATTTGCACCTCTGCCCGTTTTGAGGCAATGGCTTTTCAGTAGAATTATGTGTTGTTATATCCCATCAAGTTGGGCCATCTGCAATATTAAATTAGTCACATTTTCTCCTCACATTCTTGTTATTGTTTACCTTTAAAACAGAACAAAACCATTATGCAAAGTAATTCTACGTAATAATATGAAAAATCAGCATGTTTGTAGGTACTGAAATCAGCTGGCTATGGATTTTGGCCAGAAAAGATCTGAATCACTGCAAAAAGCTTAAAAATTTTTTTTTTATTACTAGCCGTACAATTATTTTCATGATCTGCATCCTGAATGAATAATATAGACCCCAAGTATATAGGAAAGTTAATCTGGTGCATTGATTGGAATGCTGGCCTAGAAACCAGAAGAATGTGAATTCTAGCCCTACCATGGGAATGGGAGCTGACTGTGTGACCTTGAGCCATCACTGTTTTTCAGCCAAACCCACCTCACAGGGTTGTAGTGGGGAAAACAGGGGGAAGAAGGAGTTCCCCCTTCTTAGATAATAACGGGGGTTATTATCTAAGTTTGGTATCTTGAGTTAAAATAATAAAGGTGGGGAAAATCTGATAAAGAAATATGGGAAGTACCTGATTAAATGTCTTTGGCCACCTAATGGCATCCACAGAAATACTGAACACTTCATCTGTGGGGGCTCTGAGATCAAATTTACCCACTTTGACTCGATGTACACTTAGATTTGGGAACGTGATCCAGTTGATAATATCAAATCCTGCTTCTAGGTTCCCATTCTGATCGAAGGAAATCATTTCCCCAACACTGTTGTTAAATGAGACTTTTTGTAGGTAGCGGTGGAACTTAATTGACAGTGGAACAAAAAGAAATAAGGGATAAAGCTATACAAAAATTATACAAATGCTGTAATATCTTATAACAGGGGTGTCAAACTCGATTTCATTGAGGGCTGCATCTGGGTTGTGTTTGTCCTTGGGGGCGCCAGGGTGGGCATGGCCAGTTTGACATCAGTCATGTGGGGGCGCCTGTGTTGGTGTGAGCACTTTGCCAGCGAAAATGGGCTCCCGAGCTCCATTTTCAGCTATGACGGCTTCCTGCAACCCTCTGCCAGTGAAAATGGAGCTCAGGAAGGCCTCCGATGCCCTGCTGAGCTCTGTTTTCACTGGCAGAGGCACCTTGGGCCGGTTCTTTATTGTTCCCAGGGCAGTCCCGCAAGCCAGATCTAAGCATCCCTGTCTTATAAGGTAAGTGTATTTGAGAAGACCGAATTAGCTGTATCTACCCTGTTTCCCCGAAAATAAGACATCCCCGATAATAAGCCCAATCGGGCTTTTGAGCACATGTGTTAAAATAAGCCTCCCCCTGAAAATAAGCCCTTCCCAAAAATATTTAACCGCAGAGCTTGAAATCAGGTAAGACAGCAAGAGGAGTCCCATCTTGTTCCACGTGCCCCAAAATAATATGACCTCCCCGAAAATAAGGCCAAGCACTTATTTCAGGATTCAAAAAAATATAAGACAGGGTCTTATTTTTGGGGAAACACAGTATGCACATTATCAATAATTGTAATTCAACATCACAATTCATCTGAAGTGAAAAAAATACCTATAATATGACAAAAATATAAGCACAATACAGTCGAACCAAGAACATCATTAATTATAACTATGCATATTATGCCAATAGAAACATAACAGAAAAAAGAAATCGCAAAAGAAATGTATCAATCTTAGTGATCAAGATAGTCATCTATTATAGTAACCAGCTTGGATAGAAAAATAATTGAGTGAAGTGGAGACAAAACAAAATAATGGCATTGGATTTTTCAGATGATAAGAGAGCCAGTACTCTCCTATCTCTTAATTGGGATTTACTATAATCCATACAGTTAGGATTAAAGTAAATTCATTTCCTATAGTCATTGCTATAATTGGGGTTTAATGGGAAAAAGCTATGCTTTTGGACCATTTTATATAGACAGTAAACTAATATCTAACCACATGTTGGAGGCTGAAAAACATAATCTTGTGTTTATGTATTCAGGATATTACCTGCCATGGGTAGAATCACCAAGAGTTTGTCACAACTGAATGGATATCATCATCAGTGGTGGAATGCTGCCGGTTTAACAACTGGTTTGGTGAAACTGTACTTCGCACTGAAAATGGAACATTTAGAAGCTCAGCTGCTTACCTTTCAAGTCAGCAACGGTAAGTAGAACAGCGAGGGGGGGGGGAAATCAGCTGTGCCATGCGATTGAGATGAGCTAGAAAGCAGGAAATAAAGGACAGAATAGGGCAGGGATGGGTGGGCGGGGCCAACTGATCATCAAAGCTACCAGTTCGCCCGAACTGGTCCAAACCAGCTGAATTCCACCTCTGATCATCATCATCATCATCATTACCATCACCACCATCATCATATAATAGATAATAATGTTAACATTATAAAGTGAAGAGTTCAGTGCATTCCTGAGAGTGTTTGTCACAATTTCCTTGTATTTGTGATTTCAAGACATTACCTGCCAAAGCAATGGATTCAGAAGGTTCTTATGTTCTTCCCCTGACATAATTCTGTGTTTCAGTATTGATGACCTAATGGATTGCAATGCATAGGCCACAGCATAAGCTGCATTGTAGACGCTATAGCTATGGGAGGATATGCTCATCTCAAAAATAGACCTAGGAAGAGCCTCCAGATTCTCCTTCCCAGTGCAGCGATTCCAAACATTGTCCTCTTCCAAGGAAGATGAAAAGGAGCAATCAAATACCTGTTTCCAAAAGTCCTTAATAAAACCATCTCCAATTTCCTCATAAGGGTTTCTCATATGAAGAAAATTGTGGAAACCTACCAACTCCTTTGACTGAGTTGCAAAGGCTAAGGAACCGTGAAGGATATCTATGTCCCAAAATCGTTGAAGAGGAATAGAGGTGAACTCCATCTGGGCCGTCATCATCCAGAGTTTACCATTTGTGTTCCTAGGAATGTCTTCAAGTTCTGGAATTCTGGGAAACATTCTCAAAACGACCATTGTATGAATTTCCCCATGCAAGACCACAACACTGACTTTGCTGTCACTTATCAGGAAGTACAATTTGACCCATGGCTCTAGCATTTCATGAATGCCAGTTTTAAAATATAGAGGTGGCAATGGTTCTATGAAATCAAAGCAGATACCTGCTTGGGAAAACTTGGGAAGTTCCTTCTGTACAAACCTGAGGCCATTATCATCCTCTATAAAAATGACACCAATCCAAGTCCATGTGAAAAGCAAAAGCAGCTGAAGCATCCCCACATACTGTTGGTTAATATTAGGGAACATCCATTGGAAGAAGACTTCTTGGGATGGGTCATTAATCACAGGAGAAGAACCATATCCAAGCTATAAAAAAAAGAAAGAGTAGTTAGGATGATTGTAGGTAAAATTTTATTGTCCAAAGGGAGGATATCCATCTCATAGTTTGGGAAAGAATGGAAGGAGGAGGAGGAGGAGGAGGAGGAGGAGGAGGAGGAGGAGGAGGAGGAGGAGGAGGAGGAGGAGGAGGAGGACCAAGTCCTGTTAGGGTGGAGATTGACGTGGCATTTTGTTTATTTTGATACACATGCATACAAACACACAACTCTCAGACAATCCTGGTAAATGCTTCTACTATGAAATATTGTATCTTCCATCCAATCTCCCAGTTCACAATGTCAGAAAACTATAGGTATTTGTTATGTGGTGTGTGGTGTGTGTGTATTCATGACTACATTTATGTCTATTCTCATTCATGTTTTAAAACTTTATCAGCAGGGAGATTTTGTATCTCTCTGCTATGAAAATTTATACTGCACAACCCAGTCAAAAGAGAATGTATTCACATGTATCTGTCATCTCTCTCTCTCTCTCTCTCTCTCTCTCTCTCTCTCTCTCTCTCTCTCTCTCTCTCTCTCTCTCTTCTCTCTCCCTACCTACCTACCTACCTACCTACCTACCTACCTATCTATCTATCTATCTATCTATCTATCTATCTATCTATCTATCATCTATCTATCTATCATCTATCATCATCTATCTATCTATCTATCTGTCATCTATCTATCTATCTATCTATCTATCTATCTATCTATCTATCATCATCTATGATAGATGATAGATACTGGGTACTGAGTACAGGTACTGAGGGAGCGCGACAGCTCCCTCAGTACCTGGATAAATCGTCGTATCTGGATCCATTCCAGTCGGGCTTCTGTATCCAGTTGGGTACAACACGGAAACGGCATTGGTCATGTTGGTTGATGATCTCTGGAGGGTTCGGGACAGGTGTGATTCCTCTGTCCTGGTCCTATTAGACCTATCTCAGCGGCTTTTGATACCATCGACCATGGTATCATACTGCACCGGCTAGAGGAGTTAGGGGTGGGGGGGAACCATCCTACGGTGGTTCTCCTCCTTTCTCTCTGACCGGTTGCAGTCCGTGTTGACAGGGGGGCAGAGGTCGACCCCGAGGCCCCTTGTATGTGGGGTGCCACAAGGGTCGGGCCTCTCACCCCTTCTGTTCAACATTTATGTGAAGCCGCTGGGTGAGATCTATCTATCTATCTATCTATCTATCTATCTATCTATCTATCTATTTATCTGTATACATACACACACACACACACACACATACAACACACATCCTGACTTCACAGGGAAGCAAGCAGGGAAGCAAGCAGCAAGCAATTAAACAAATTTAATTTTGTTACCAATAGAAGATGTGGAAATTCACTCCAGCTTGTTCTTCAAGGTCTGGGTCATGCTTAACTGTTCTTTCAATGTTATGGAGATCTACTAATGTGATTCATAGGGTATCACTTTTTAAGGTGCTATTCCAGTATTTGTATACATTCTATTACAAACTATCCACTGATCGGTAATGTTTATACATGTTACATTATACACACAAACTACATTAAGGCTGAAAGGACACACTTCTAGTTTTTTCAGGCACTAAGCATTATGTGCATATCTTACCTGCGGTAGCTTGTAATTGCTCAGAATAGTTGCCATAAAGAAACTCACATCTGAATCAGGTCCCCCAATGACCGCGACAACATTATCTTTATTATCACACTTGTAGTTCGGGATAAAGTTGCTCCATGTGGAGAGAAGCTCCAGTGAGGCAAGATATGTCCAGCTTGCAACAAAATGGCTGTTATAGATGTGGAAGCCCATGGAGATATTGGGTAATATCTGAGGATTTCCGTTAATCTCCAATATGGCAAATGCAAAGGCCAGGGTATGTTGGTAAATCTGAGTCACAAATCTGCAGTGCGATTTATATGCTGAATGATTTCAGAAGCTTGCTAAATATTCTTCCAAAACCTTTAGGCCATACAATCAGAGATGTCTTAAAATATCACTTTGACAGTAATATTTATCTGGAAGCCATGAGTGGACTCATTCCCATTTGGACTATTCAAAGGTCAGTTTTCTATTGTTTTTTTATTTGTTTGCATTCACCCATGCATTTTTGGTGGGGGAAACCACTCAGTGTCTATGTATTTATGAAAGTGTCTCATTTTTACAGGTAAAGGTAAAGGTAAAAGTTGCCCTCTCGATCAACAAGCTCAGCATCTTAGCCACTGAGCCACCATGTCCCTTTCCACATTTTCACATTGTGAAAATTATCATTTTCACAGGACAGGTTACCAAAATTGATGGTGGATTTCCATCTGATGTATACAGCTAATATTTGGTGGACAAATATGGTTAGCCCTTGACTTACAACAGTTCATTTAGTGACCATTTGAAGTTACAATGGCACTGAAAAAAGTGACATGACCATGTTTCACACTTAGGACTGTTGCAGCATCCTCACGATCATGTTATTTACATTCGGATGCTTGAAAACTGGTTCATATTTATGATGGTTGCAATGTCCTGGGATTATTGCAACCTTTTGCTAAGCAAAGTCAATGGGGAAGCCAGATTCACTTAACAACCATGTTACTATCTTAACAACTGCAGTGGTTCACTTAACAATTGTGGCAAGAAAAGTCATAAAATGGGACAAAACTCACTTAACAAATTTCTTGCTTAGCAACATAAATTTTGGGCACAATTGTGATCATAAGTTGAGGACTACCTGTAATCAATATCATGTGATTTCCTTTAAGCAATCTCTCAAGTAGGCAAGGGGTTGAATCTTGCTGTAAAAATATTTTCAAGTCTGACATTTCTTGCACTTGGTATTGTGAAATATTATGTGGAATATATGATATGTTTCCTACAACCTTCTCCTATTGGTATCTTATGAATATATTACTTCACTGATAGTATGTACACTGAGAGTTTATGCACTAGTGACAAATTCCTTCTGTATCCAATCACACTTGGAAAAGAAAAAGAAAGGAAGAAAGAAAGAAGGAAGGAAGAAAGAGGGGGGAGGGAGGGAGGGAGGGAGGGAGGGAGGGAGGGAAGGAAGGAAGGAAGGAAGGAAGGAAGGAAGGAAGGAAGGAAGGAAGGAAGGAAGGAAGGAAGGAAGGTTGGAAAGCTGAATACCTCAATAAGAATGTTCATCCATACTCATGGAATAACAGCTAAATTAAGTCTAGTGTAAAATGATACCCATTTATCCTTTCTTGGGGAATTGTCTGCTTAAAATAACAATACAATTTGCAGCAAGAAACCCTCTTATGGAAAATGCTACAATTAATCAATATCTTGGCTTACCCAATCTCATCTAGGAGGTTGTGAGACGGATGCTGATAGAACGTCATAGGGTCAGAAAATGTATAGACTTGAGAAATAATACCGGCAATGCTGAAGTCCCCTGGTTGATAATACCGGTGACTTATTGGCAGAGGGTAATAGATATTGCAAGTAGCAATTGGGACATTAGACATAGTCTGAGGCAGTAGCAGTAATATCAGAAACAGAAAGGGTGGCACTAGATAGAAGCATCTTGTGGACATCAGAGCCAATAAGGATTTCTAGTGTCCTCTCACACTTTCCACTAGGTATGTTCAGAGGAAAATCACCAAGCAGTCTATATTGGATTCCTTTCTTGAGTGTCAAGATATATTTTAGTAATATATTTTGATAAAACCTTCTCTCTTGTGCCAAGGTATATTGGTTGTCCTTTGGGAGATGAAGTAGAAGATACCATTAGCAGAATGGTAACTGCATGGGAGATAATCACATTGTAAAATTACTAGTTCTTTGCAGTATTGTAGAAGAAAACAACTTAATTGCATATTTCAATAGATTTTGGCTTTTTTCTTGTGAATATGTTACTATGAAACTAGAGTTATTTGAAGTAGGAATGATCTCTCTCTCACACACACATACACACTCCTTTTCTCCTTCCCTCCCTGTATCCAGGGCCCATGGTGATTGAAAAAGTCAAAATGGCACCTGAACTATTTTTGTACTATTTTTGTGTATTGAAGGACTTTCATCTGTATTCATGGAATACCAGCCAAATGTATTACTACTGTTATTTCTCTTCTTCTTCTTCTTCTTCTTCTTCTTCTTCTTTCTTCTTCTTCTTCTTCTTCTTCTTCTTCTTCTTCTTCTTCTTCTTCTTCTTCTTCTTCTTCTTCTTCTTCTTCTTCTCCTCCTTCTCCTTCTCCTTCTTCTCCCCCTTCTTCTCCCCCTTCTTCTGTCACTGCTACCACTGTAAAATAGTGTCCCACACTTATGCTAACAGAGAAAGTAGCATAAAATATTTTCTCTGACTGTTCATCCATTTGGCATCTTTATCTGTGAAAAGTTGAGGAAATAATACACAGAATCCACTATAGAAAATATCAAACTATCTAAAATAAATAAATAAATAAATAAATAAATAAATAAATAAATAAATAAATAAATAAAAATAAAGCTCATTACAGCTCTTAAAGTTGAGCTTTAAGAAAAAAGGAATGTCAAAATAAATGCAAATGTGGTGTGGATGTCAACAGTAAATAAAAGCTTATGAGAATTTGTGAACATTTTTAAATAGTAGCTACACTGGTTATTCCCAATATTTCACAGTGAAACAGGGTGAATTGAAGGTCACTCTTCTTAATGAATACAAGGCAATGCAGTGAATTTCCATTCACAGATTTACTTTACTTTATTGATTAGCCCTTGGGCCATATCAAAGTGCAGAGTTCCAGACATAAATTATTTCTAAAAGCTGATAAAAACAATTTAAAATGAAATTGGAATAAAAGATGATTTAAAATGAAGTTGGAATAAAATCAGGGGTGAAATGCTCCCGGATCGGACCAGATTGGCTGATCCGGTAGCGATGATGGCCGGTAGTTTGGAGAACTGGTAGCAATGGCAGCTGGAGGCTCCATCCACCCGCCCAGAATTCATTACTTCCTGGAAGTGGCCCAACAGGCAGAAGTGGCCCAGAAAGAGATTCTGGCCTTATCCCGGAGCCGCCGCACATTCGCCGCCTGCTTGCCCTTCGCCTTGGGTCAGAGGCCAGGGCCCAGTGATGTGCTATTCACTGAAGCCCCGGAGCTGCCACCTGCTCGTTGCATGCACCATTTCCCGACTCAGGCCTTGCCATGGAGCCACTGCCTGCTCACCCTTCACCATGTGGTGTATCCTACTCCTCACCTTTCTCCCACAGCTGGCTGTCAGGGAAGACAAGCGCCCAAAAGTTACCGGAGTCGCTCACTCTCCTTCTTGAACGTGCCACCACCATCGCTGCTCTGGTCCATGCACCGGCTGCGCAAGCACACACCATTTATTTCATTCACTCATCAGCGGCAGGTTGGATGTGTGCTTGTGCAGCTGGCGCATGGACCAGGGCGGCAATGGTGGTGGCATATTCAAGAAGGAGAGTGAGCAACTCCGATAACTTTCGGGTGCTTGCCTTCTCTGACAGCCAGCCATGGGAGAAAGGTAAGGACATGCTGCTTGGCGATGAGAGAGCGGGCAGTGGCTCCAGGGCAAGGCTGGTGTTGGGGAATGGTGCATTCCCCAACCTGGTTGAGGCAGGCGGCGAGCAGGCGGCGGCTCCAGGGCCTCAGGGAATGGCGCATCCCTGGGCCCTGGCCCGCAACCCAAAGCGAAGAGAGAGCGGGTGGTGAGTGGGTGGCAGAATAGAAATTTAAAAAGTTTTCTTACCGGGTTCTGTGGGCAAGGCTTGGTGGGAGAGGGTCTTGTGACTGAGTGGGCGTGGCTGTGAGTGACATCGAGTTGGCCATGCCCACTCATTCACAGGACACCCCCCCCACCAAGCCACACCCACAGAACCGATAGGGGAAAATTTTAGATTTCACCCCTGAATAAAATGAAGTTTAAAATGAAATTGGAATAAAATACAATAATTTAATATATAGATAAATAAAATATGATAAAATTATATTTTGGTATCACCTCTACAATCTACCCCAATCAATCCCATGTATGTCGATCTCAACAGAACCATTTTGCTTAAGTACTGTGCTGTGTTAAATGTTATTTTCATTTAAATTCCTCTCTATCCATTCATGGCTACATTCCTGATCTCTTAAGATGCCGATTAAAGTCAAGAAACCCACCACGCTTAAGCTGCTGGCCGATCATCAGAACACCACACAAAAGTGGATGGAAGCGTGGAGTAGCTATTCCCCCCAAGATATTGTCCGAAGATGTTTCCATGGTCATGTGGCTGGCAGGACTAAACGCCAAAGGCACATGGAACACTGTTACCTTCCCATCAAAGGTGGTCCCTATTTTTCTACTTGCATTTTTTATGTGCTTTCAAACTGCTAGGTTGGCAGAAGCTGGGACAAGTAACGGGAGCTCACCCCACTAAGCAGCACTAAGGATTCGAACTGTTGAACTGCCGACCTTTTGATTAACAAGCTCAGCATCTTAGCCACTGAGCCACCACATCCCTTTAGTAGCTTGCCACAAATAATGTCTGCAGTGAAACTGGGGCACTCTTATTGAAGATGTGGAGGAAAAGAAAGAGAGTAAGATGAAGAGTTGTCTCCTTTGATAAAGGAGGCCTGAGATCCTTTCCCATATATGCTCTCTGTCAAGTTCTAAGTGCACTTCCGCTGTTGCAACCATTATTGCTTCTCAACTTGCCAAAGAATCAAGGGGGAAGGGAAGAGTGAGATGGAATGCAGGCTCCAGACTTCAAGAAGACAAGCCATGAGAGGCAAGGAAATTCTGGCAAGTGTTTGGCAAGACCAAAGACTTTTTCTCATAACAATACAATGACACTCAATTGGACTATGTGACCTGCACTAATGGGTGTGTGTGTGAGAGAGAGAAATCTATACTGTCATTATGTGGGTTTGGGTGGGAATTAGTTAGAGCTGGTTTTGACTTCAGGAGTACCAAAATGATGTACCCAATAAAATTTTGCATTCAGAGATTGGAAAGTCTCAAGCGTGCTTGCTTTGGTTGGGTTCATCATTTGGAATATTGACATTCTCTCAATCATATTATACTCCAAGCACCACCTGCTTGAGATAACAATGCAATTTGCTGTAGGAAAAGCCCTTACAAAAAAATGCTCTGCTTAACCAAAATCTCAGTTTACTTATTCTTACCCAGAAGGTCATGAAATGGATGCTAACTGAAAGTCACAGGGTCAGGAAATGTATAGACTTGAGAAATAACTTTCACAATGATGAAGTTCCCTGTCTGATAATACCAATGATTTGACAGCATAGTGTAATAGATATTGCATGTAGCAGCTGGGACTCTAGGCATGATGTAGATTGAGGTAATAACAGTAATATCAGGACAACAAGGAGTGGCAATAGGTAAAACCAGTGGTGAAATCCAAATTTTTGTACTACCGGTTCTGTGGGTGTGGCTTGGTGGGCGTGGTGTGGCTTGGTGGGCATTGCTTGGTGGGCATGGCAGGGGAAGGATATTGCAAAATCTCCATTTCACCCCACTCTGGGGCCAGACAGAGGTGATATTTGCCGGTTCTCCGAACTACTCAAAATTTCCACTATCGGTTCTCCAAACTGCTCAAAATCTCCACTACTGGTTCCCCAGAACCTGTCAGAACCTGCTGGATTTCACCCCTGGGTAAAATGTCTTCTTCTGGACATCAGTTCCTGTCTTCTGTGCCCTTAAAATGTTCTGAGTTATTAGTCAATTAAAGAAAAAATCCCCAGGTCTGCAGGGCAAAGGCAGAAAGACTGAGGTCTACATTTCTGCAGCCAGAATTTGTCAATTGTCAGATTTTAGACAATCTGACATTTTGACATTTTAGCTGATTGTAAGCCTATACTCTTTAACAATTGTTTCTGTTTACACTTCTCAAAGTTTTGTTCAGCAGTTATACCTCTTAAGTATGATGACTCATTACATTTTATATTATAGCTTCATGGAGAAGGATCGTTCACCTGCTCAAAGCTCTCGCAATTAGGAACTTTGTCCATATTTTGTGGTAGAATATTTTGATTACCACACTATAGGCATGGTTGAATAGAGAGAACATTATATATTTTATTATTACACTTAAACCCAGCCATTCTGTTTTAAAAAGCTTTAAGGTAGCTATCAATTCAACCCTAGAGTGGTTTTGTCACTCATATAAATCCCATTGTATAGCAGACTAATTTCCATGAATCATTTTATGAGGGTTTTTCTTATGAGTTGTTGCCTGTTATTCAGCTCAGGTCTTATCAATATGATGTAAACTTTGGGAGAGAAAATGAGGATCAGTAATCCAGCACTTGAGGCTAAAATGGAGAAGATCTCCACAGCCACCGTGTATTTCCCTTTGGTACTCTGGTAGGCTGGAACAAAAGAGATCCAGACACTGCAAAAGAGAAGCATGCTGAGCGTGATAAATTTGGCTTCATTGAAACTATTTGGGAGGTTCCTGCCAAGGAAAGCCACTGTAAAGCTGATCATGGCCAAGAGGCCAATGAAACCCAGGACACAATAAAACATGGCAGCAGAGCCTTCATTGCACTCCAGGACCATTTCTGTAGGCAGCGAGTGCATATCAAGATCTGGGAAGGGAGCAGAGCTCACCAGCCACACAGTGCAAAGAGTGATTTGAACAAGGGAGCAGGAAGGTACCATAAAGAGGGCCAACTTGTTTCCTATCCATGACCTCATCTTAGAATCTGGCCTGGTGGCCATGAAAGCTAGGACCACAGTGAGGGTTTTGGCCACCACACAAGAAACCGCCACAGAGAAGATGATTCCAAAAGCAGTTTGGCGAAGGAGACAGGTTGCCCTCTGAGGCCGACCAATGAAAAGCAAAGGGCAGAGAAAGGAAAGCAGAAGGGAGACCAGGAGGGTATAGCTGAGGCCCTGGTTGTTGGCCTTGACAATGGGTGTATTCTTATGTTGGACAAAGACTGCAAGGACCAGAGCTGTGATGGAAGAAAATAAAAGAGTAACAATGGCTAAGGTGATCCCCAAAGGTTCTTGAAAAGATAGGAAACTGATCTCTTTTGGAATGCACTGATCCTGGGCTTTGCTGGGATAGTGATCCTCTGGACACTGGGAACAAGAATCCATATCTGAAAAGGAAAAAAAAAAGGCTCTTTGGCAGACGTAGACCAAGATCAGAAGATAAGGAGAAACCTGACCCATCATCATCATCATCATCATCATCATCATCATCATCATCATCCCCAAGCAATGGGGTTTTTATGAGACATAATTTAGAGCCTAATACCCTTCGTTTATTTACTTTTCATTCATTAGGTTTATATCCCACTTTTCTTTCAGTTGTTCTAGGCAACATACCTAGTCCTCTGTGTTTTTGCTTTCTCTACAAAAACAAACTGGTGGGATATATTGAACTGAGAGAATGACAGGACCAAAGTCAGCAGTGAACAATCATGATAAATTGTGAAGAGACTTATGTGAGCTCAGCCACAAAAACTAACACACATTTTATTCTCCTTAGAAATCTTCCTTAAGGACTATGAGTATCAACACCCTAAGGATGTTCCAAGCCAGGTTTCAAAGAAGGTAGACTAAAAACTGTTCTATTTCAATTTTAATAAAAATGGGCATGATTTATTCCCTTCTAAACTCTGAACTTCTCTGTAACTCTCGCCCTATTCTGTGAAATCTCTACACAAGGAACATTACAAGTTTGTATGATTCATATGGAATCTATGGAAATAAAAAATCAAAGATCCATAACTGGAAAAATCCTGGCATTGTCTTCCTTTAGAGCACTTAACCATTTGTACATTTCATAACATCCCACCAGAGGGAAAAAAATCAACGTCCATATTTTTTGGAGTATAAGACGCACCGGAGTATAAGATGCATCTTAGTTTTTGGGGAGGAAAATAGGGGAAAAAATCTTCATACCAGGTATTCATCTGGCTAGTGTCCTTAGTCTGGTCAGTGTCAGCACATTAGTATGCTGGTGTTGAGCACACGCACACACTTTTTATCCCCTGCTTGGGGATAAAAAACAGCTTCTAAAGCACAGCTGATTTTTGGAGAGAGAAGCAATGAGAAAAGCAGGCGAAGCTTGTAAGATCACTTCACTCACTAGCCCCTTGTTAGGGCTGAAAAACAACTTCTAAAGCACAGCTGAGAGGGAGCAGCAATGAGAAAAGCAGGCAAAGCATGGAAATTGCTTCACTCATTAGCACATCGTTAGGGCTGGAAAAAAACTTCTAAAGCACATCTGAGAGTCGGAGAGAGCAGGCAAAGTGCTGATCACTTCATTTGCTAGTGTCTCGTAGGGCTGAAACAAAGCTTCTAAAGCACATCTGAGAGTCAGAGGGAGCAGGCAAAGCACAGAAGATCATTTCACTCACTAGTGCCTCATTAGGGCTGAAAAAAAGCTTCGAAAAAGCTACATTAGGAGTATAAGATACACCCAAATTTTCAGCCTCTTTTAGGGGTGGGGGGAAGTGCATCAAAACTCCAAAAACTATGGTATTTTCCACATGAATGGAAAATATGAATCCCAATTTTCTGATCTCTGGTCTGGGTAAAAAATTTGACCCAACACTTGGCTCCAGAGGTTTTCCTCAAGGACAGCAAAAGATGAAAGGAATGATGCAATGCAACTCTATCACTGTAGATATGGAGTGACATCACCAACACCTCAAAAAAAAAAAAAGGTCAGAACATGCATCACAATGGAGCAACACAGATCTATTTCCATTCAGTCTGCTTTTTACTCAAATAATTGTAATACCACTACCATTGCCAATGAATTAAAACCCGGTAGGCATTGTACCTTACCTGTCCAATTTGACACTTTTCCTTCTGGGCATGGAAGGCAATCATAACAACAAAATGGCTTCCCTTCCTTCTTGGTCTTGCTGTGACCTTTATGGCAGGGTTCATTACACAAAGAACGAGGCTGAACCTGTGTGCAATGGGAAGTCATAATTTCTTTAACTCTTAGCAAAACCTACTGGAAAAATGAGTAAAGTACAATACTTGAATCTTGAAGTATTGAAGCTGGTATAGCCATATAACTTTATTTCTAAGTAGTACATTCAGTACCAGGCCACAGAAGTAGTGGGCAAACATGCGTGCATGTGCACACAGCTCTATTTGCGCAAGCGGCAAGCAGGTGCACACATCACTTGCACAAATGGAGCTGCGAACACGAAAGCCTGCTGCTTATGCGGCACCATCCCCTCTCCCCCCCCCCAAATTGGTCCACAAAGCTGGAAAGGTCGGAGACCACTGTTCTAGTATATAGAAGTCACCCTTACAATCTGCACCCATAGTAAAGAAGAACTTGGGAAACTCCCATTTCGAGATGTCCTAATCATCATGTGATCATTTCTAATTAGACAGCCATGGGAAGTAATGTTCACATGTCTCTTTAAAAAAGTTCTTATTAACTGAATATAAAAATCAAAGAAAAAGATAAAGCATACACACATGTATAATAGATGAAAAAAAAAGAAAGAGGGCATAAATGGATAAGCATAAATAGCAATAGCACTTAGACTTATATACCACTTTACAGTGCTTCACAGCCCTCTCTAAGTGGTTTACAGAGTCAGCCTATTGCCCCCAACAAACTGGGTGCTCATTTTACCCACCTTGGAAGGATGGAAGGCCTGGTGAGATTCGATCTGCCAAACTGCTGGCAGCCAGTGATAACAGAAGTAGCCTGCAGTACTGCACTCTAACCACTGCACCACCGTGGCTCATAAATACATTCTAACAGTAGGCATTGCTTAGGGCAGCACTTCTAAAACCATATTCATTATTCTAGTACAGGGATCCCCAACCCTCGGGCCACAGCCCACTATTGGGCTGTGGCTGATTCAAAAATGGGCCACAGAAGTGGTGGGCGAGCATGCGTGTGTGTGCGCACAGCTCCATTTGGCACTCGCACAAATGGACACTGTGCACACGAACGCCTGCTGCTCATGTGGCACCATTCCCCCATCCCCTCCATCAGTCCACAAAGCTGGAAAGGTTGGAGACCATAGTATATAGAAGTCATCCTTATAATCTGCACCCATAGTAAAGAAAAGCTTGGGAAACTCTCATTCCTAGATGTCCTAATCATCAAAATTGAGAACCTACAAGATTGCACACAAAGCCCGTGCCCGAAGCGAACCGATGGTAACATCAGTTAGAACCCACCACTGCACTAAACTATTTAGAATCTTTCAAATCAATTTTGGTTATATTGTTATTTGGAATAAGCATCAACTAACTGACTTACCTAACATGGCAATATGATTACTTTACTATTTATATTCTGAACTTAGAGTAGTGAAAATAATGAGGAAAACTGCAAATTGTAGACAGAACATACCCGGTTAAATCTCCTTGGCCATCTGATAGCATCAACAAAAAGACTGAAAGCATTGTCTTTGGGAGTTCTGTGATCAAATGTTCCCATTTTGACTCGATGCAATGTTAAGTTCGGGAATGTGATCCAATTGATAATATCAAATCCTGCTTCCAGGTTCCCATTTTGATCAAAGGAAATCATCTTCCCAACGCTATTGTTAAATGAGACTTTTCTGAGATAAGGGTGGAACTAAAATGAAAGTGGGAACAAGAAGCAATAAAGCTATGCAAATGTAATGCGAACAATCTAACAGAAAGTGAGGATATTTCATAGGATTGAATTACTAACGCCTAATCATGTTATCAATTTTCCTAATCAAAAATATAGCTAAGCAAGTGCTTATTATTAGTGCTTACAATATGTCAATAATTTAAACATGAAGTCAAACCAAGGGAGGAGGAGGAAGAGGAGGAGAAAGAAGAAGAAGAAGAAGAAGAAGAAGAAGAAGAAGAAGAAGAAGAAGGAGAAGAAGAAGAAGAAGAAGAACAAAACAAGAACAAGAACAAGATGTGCAAAAATTGCTCACCAAAATGTTGGAAATGTAAAGCAATACTAGGCACTTGTTATCATATGTGGTGGAGGTGCCCGAAAACCAAGGGCTTTTGGCTCCAAAAAAAAAAAACAAAAAACCAGTGACTAGAAGAGATGTTAAACCAGATGATAGATATGACTCCAGAACTCTTCCTTCTGGGTATAGTAAGGGATAATTACAAAAATGAAGAAATATATCTTATGGTACACATATTAATGGCAGCAAGGTTGATATTCGCACAAAATTGGAAATGCTGAGAGAACCCACAGGAGGGGAAATAGTCAACAAAATATTGACCTGTGCAGAAATGGACAGGTTAACAATGGAGCTCAAAGATAAAGATGAATCAGAATTCTATGTAACCTGTAATACATTTTATAAGTGGCTAGAGAAAAGGAGGAATGTAGGGATAGATAATTAGAAACAGAGTGAAGAAAAGGGGAGAAAAATAAATAAATTAATATAAGAAATATTAGATAGGATTAAACTGGATTTGAATAGATATGAAGGGAATATGTATGTAACTGAAGTGTGATTGAATGTACAAAAAGTATATATGGAATATGCATGATGTCATATTGTAATATACATGAAAGAAAAAGTGTTAGAAAAGTATGTACCAGACAAGTCACACTAAGTCTAATGTTTTTAAATTGTATATTCAATAAAATTATTGTGAAGAAGGAGGAGGAGGAGGAGGAGGAGGAGGAGGAGGAGGAGGAGGAGAATATAAAGCATCAAGACACCATAACTAACTTGAATTAAAAGAACTGAGCAAAGAGGTAAACCAAGATTCTTGTATCATATATCAGTGTTCCTAACACTCTACTACAACTACAAGAGTTGAATGAGCTCTGTTCCTTTGATCTTTCTTGCAATTATTTAAACAGGACCATCCTATGCATTTTGACATAGTTATTTATTAGCTGGGTCATTTATTTAATGTGAGTGGGAATTCACTAGAGAAAGCAATTACTGTATATTTGGGAGAGTTAGAGGTAAAAGGAAACCCAGCCACCAAAGAACATAATGGCCAGACAACTTCAAAGCTGACATCAACAAAACCATAGAAAAACTGAAAAAGTCGTTCAAGATCAGAAGATGTTGAAAAGTCTGGCCCATAGAATTGCCATAAGTTTGACACAACTGAATGGATAACATATTCTTCTTCATCATCATCATCATCATCATCATCATCATCATCATCATCTAATAGATAATAATGTTAACCTTATAAAGTGAAGAGTTCAGTGTATGTAGACAAGCATTCCTGAGAGTGGGAATCTAACATGACAATTTCGTTGTATTTGTGATTTCAAGACATTACCTGCCAAAGCAATGAATTCAGAACATTCTTCTGTTTTTCCTCTGATATAGTTCTGTGTTTGAACATCGATGAGCTCATGGATTTCAATGCATGGGCCACAGCATAAACTGCATTGTAGATGCTATAGCTATGGGGAGTTATGCTCATGTCAAAGACAGACCTAGGAAGAGTCTCCAGTTTCTCTTCCCCACTGCAGAGATTCCAGACATTGTCCTCTAAGGTTGTTGGGAAGGAACAATCAAATGCCTGTCTCCAAAAGTCTTTAATAAAACCATCTCTGGTTTCCACATTAGGGTTTCTCGTCTGAAGAAAATTTTGGAAACCCACCACCTCCTTTGACTGGATTGCAAAGGCTAAGGAACCGTGAAGAATATCTAGATCCCAAGATCGTTGAAAGGGAACAGAAGTGAATTCTATCTGTGCCATCATCATCCAGACTTTACCTGTCTTCATTTGAATGTCTTCAACTTCCAAAATTCTGGGAAACATCCTCAAAAAGATGGTAGTGTGAATTTCACCATGTAAAACCACAACACTGGCAATGCTATTGCTTATCAAGATGTACAGTTTGACCCACGATTCCATCATTTCATGAATGCCACTTTTGAAATACACAGTTGGGAATGGTTCTATAAAGTCAAAGCAGATACCACTTTGAGAAAACTTGGGAAGTTCCTTCTGTATAAACCTGAGGCCATTGTCATCCTGTATAAAAATGACACCAATCCAGGTCCATCTGAAAAGCAAAAGCAGTTGAATCATTCCCATATATTGTTGGTTTCTATTAGGGAGCATCCATTGGAAGAAGGCTTGTTGCGATGGGTCATTAATCACAGGAGATGATCCATATCCAAGCTATTAAAAAAAAAAAACAAGCAAGACTAAGTACATAGGATTTGTGTAGGCAAACCTTTATTGTCTGAAGGTTGAATATCCATCTCATATTTTGCGAAAGAATGGAAGAAGACTTTTCTCTATCTTCCAAGAGTTAATGGAAGTTTGGTCTTTTCGTTAGTTCTTTACTTCTTGTTGCAATAACCACTCATATGCTACAATAAAGATAATTCTCTACCAAAATAATTGCCTAAGAATGGGAAAAGAGAGGATTTGACCATATTAGGACTGTAACAATAGATAGGCAGTGCATGCTGGCTAAGGAATTCTTGGAGTTGAAGTCCACAAGTCATAAAATTGCCAAGATTGGAGACCCCTGGACTAGAAGACCTCCAAGGTCCTTTCCAGCTCTATTCCAATTGATTCTCGGTTTAGGAAAAATGCTAAGCTCAGTTTAGCACCAGCATATAGAAGTATTGGGATGTTGTACTGTGCTAAATTGGGGGCATGACTATTCATGTTTTGTAAAGGTCTGTGAACGAATTAATATAGAGATTGAAAAGGGAAGGAGCAAAAACACATTCCTGTGGCACTCCTTTCTCCAGGTTTACTGTGCCAGAGAGGGTTCAATGGGGGGTTATATGCAACAGACAAACAGGGGTTTAATAGCAATGTCCCACAAACTGGCAGATTTGACTCGCCTCTGGTGGAGACTGTTGCTCTCCAGCCAACGCCCTGAGCTTTCACTCCCTATTGACAAGTGGAGGCCTTGGAACCTCTGCCTGCTTCAAACTATGCCCCTTTCACGGGACAAATATACGTGTCCCACAGAGGTGGGCTTCAGCAGGTTCTGACAAGTTCTAGAGAACTGGTAGCAGAAAGTTTGAGTAGTTCAGGGAACTGGTAAATACCACCTCTGACTGGCCCCATCCCCATCTATTCTCTGCCTCCCAAGTCCCAGCCGATCGGGAGGAAATAGGGATTTTGCAGTATCCTTCCCCTGGAGTGGGGTGAGAATGGAGATTTTACAGTATCCTTCCCCTGGAATGGAGTGGGAATGAAGATTTCACAGTATCCTTCCCCTGCCACACCCACCAAGCCATGCCCACCAAGCCACACCCACAGAACCGGTCGTAAAAAAATTTGAAACCCACCACTGGTGTCCCAGGATAATGTTGCAAGATCCAATCTGTGTCAAACACCAGGACAAGAGGTTTAGTCTTCTGAGCTTCTGGACTCATTCTGGAGCCCATCTTCAGGGAATTTCTCTGTAGCAGAATGTGTCTACATCCCTGAGGATAGGCTCCAGCACAAGTCCAAAAGCCCAGAAGACTAAACCTCTGGTCCTGATGACTGACTCAGTTTGGATCTATGCCCCCTTCCTCAGGACTCCAGGATGGATCCTGTGAATAGCTAATTCAACATTTTAAAAGATTTTGGGTCAGGATTCTTGTTTAATGCACAAAATAAACATCCCCTTTAGGATGATGCCACCTTCTTTGTCTCAAATTAATAAAAATTCACTGGGTATCTACCTTACCTGTGGTAACTTGTAGATGCTGAGAATGGTTGCCATGAAAAGACATGCTTTGGAGTCAGGCCCCCCAATCACAGCTACAGTGGTACTTTGGGCATCACATTTATAGTTTGGAATGAACTTGCCCCAAGTGGAGAGGAGCTCCAGTGAAGCAAGATAAGTTAAGCTTCCAGTGAAGTAGGCATTATAAATGTTGAAACCCAAGGAGATATTGTGTAGCATCTGGGTATCATCATTGATCTCCTTCACAGCAAAGACAAGAGCCAAGATGTGCTGGTAGGTCTGAGTCAAAAATCTGTAATGAGATTTACCTGCACCACTGAATTCTCTCTACTTAAACAGTTTAAGGCTTGCTAAATCCCCATTCCTTTAATATATAGATATTGTATTTTGTAATATTACAGAATTGTAAGATATCTGGGCAACTTCATGATGAAACTGAGGCACAAGTTCTCAACTATTTTTAACTGAAAAGATGGGATCCACCAAAACTCACTTTCTTTTGGCAGGCCACTGGACTTTCAAAAGCACCATACCAAAACCTAGCATGAACCTTTTTCAAAACCTAACATAAAAGCCATTTCACTGAGGTGCTTTTAAATCTCCATCTAACTATCTCTGTATAGATGTTGATTCCAAAAATGCATGTCAGTGCATTTGATTTTGAACAAGAGGACATGTGTGAAGAAAATAAGAAGTGACCTTGGGTATGAATGGAAAGACTTCTACCAGCTGCTTAGGGTATAGCCATGGACTGCATGTCCTACACCCAGAGATAGGATTTCCATTACTTGAATATCCTCATTTTGAGATTTGAATTTTCCATTATTCCACCATCTTTCAAGAATACCGCTTGATTGCAAAATCATTTTCTGCCACACCCTACGTTCAAATCCCATCCTGATATTGTTCAGAATTATTTTACCGATTTATATTTTTAACAGATTTCAGTTGTCTTTCAATTCACAGTCCTTAATGAAAGATGGAATGTTTTTATAATGGAAATCTTATACCTTATGATTTATGGTTTTCAACTTACGATTTATAATTTACCATTTTATTGCTTGTATGTATTCTAAAATCTTATGTACCAGAGACAAATTCATTGTGTGTCCAATCACTCCTGGCCAATCAAGAATATACCAATCAAGAATATTCCAAATAGGTTAGTATCAATCTTCATTGGATGTTCAGGAAAATGAAAAGGAACACTTCTCTTAAAATTATTTGCAAGTTAGAGAAGAAGCATAATGAGAATAATAATAATAATAATAATAGGAGATAGTGACAGATTTTATTTTCCTGGGCTCCAAGATCATTGTTAATAATCAAAAAATGTGATGGGGATTTTGAGAAATATATTCAATAAATGGAGAAAAAATCGGGGTTGCTTGGATACCATTTTGGAAAATATTGAATTGAAAATGAATACAACAATGGAAAGAGAATGGAAAGAGGAGTAGAGGGATAGAAGGAGGGAAGGAGAGAGGAAGGAGAGAGAGGAACAGAAGAAAGGGAAAAGGAGAGGAAAAAAGGGAGAGGAAACAAGAGTAGGAGAGAAGATCACAAAGGGAGGAAGGAAGGAGAAATGGGGGATAGGAAGGGGAAGGAGAGAAGGAGAAGGAGAAGAGGAAAGAAGAAAGTAGAAAATGATAGAAGAAGGGAGGGAAAGGGAAGAGAGCAGAAGGAGAAGGATTGTTGTAAAATAAGGGAGATGGAATAGTAGAAGGGCAACCCGGAGTATATTCAAACTTATTAGGCTGAGGAACAAACTAATATGAAAGTTAAAAGAGAATATATATGATTAACAATTGATAAGATAACTAATTGAAATAATATTAAGAAATTAGGATTTGAGGGCTGATGTGATACTGTTTATATAATAAGTATAGAAGTATTAAGACAAGATAAAAGAGTAGAGAAAAAGAATATTTTGGCAGAAATTGAAACTATGTAAAGTGTATTTGGACATGATAAGTTGTATAAGATATGATTTGGTCAATACTCTGTTCATAAAATATGTATGTGAAAGAAAAAAATCAATAAAACTTGTTTCAAAAAAATAAAAATAAAAGATACTTGCTCCTGGGGAGGAAAGCTATGGCAAATCTAGACAGCGTACTAAAAGGCAGAGACATCACCCTGCCAACAAAAGTGTGTATAGTCAAGGTTATGGTTTTCCCAGTTGCAATGTATGGCTGTGAAAGTTGGACCATAAGAAAGGCTGAGCACCAAATAATTGAGGTCTTTGAACTACGGTGCTGGAGAAGACTCTTGCGAGTCCCATGGACTGCAGGGTGATCAAACTGGTCAGTCCTAGAGGAGATCAACCCTGACTGCTCTTTAGAAGTGCACATCCTGAAGATGAAACTCAAATGAAACTCTTGGCCATCTAATGAGAAGGAAGGACTCACTGGAGAAGAACCTAATGCTGGGAAAGATTGAGGCCAAAAGAAAAAAGGGATGGCAGTGAATGAGGTGGCTGGATGGAGTCACTGAAGCAGTCGGCATGAGTTTAAATGGACTCCAGAGGATGGTAGAGGACAGGAAGGCCTGGAGGAATGTTGTCCATGGGGTCACGATGGGTCAGACACGACTTTGCAACTAACAACAGCAACAATAATAGGTCACAAAAAAAGTGGGGAGGGTGGAACGAGCCTCAGTAATGTCCAACCATATAAAATTTAACCGATCATCTTTCTTGGGAACATAATGTAAAATGGAGTCTCTTTCACTGGATGAATATTATAGCTCATTGAAGCTTAAAGAATAGTAAGTCCCTTAGTTTTTAATTTGATTGAAAAGTAATGGCTACAAATCTAAGAAAACACTTATCACCTGAACTGTTTGATTAAGGTATCAGTTGCTTACATGAGATCATCAAGGACTTCAGAAGAGGGATGGCGATCAAAGTTGAGAGGATTGGAAAACATGAAGCTTTGTGAACTAATGCCAGCTATGATCACATCCCCTGACTGATAATATTTGTGGTTGATATTCCGTGGGTCACTGTTCATGCATTTAGCAACTGGAACATCACATGATGTCGAAGGAAGCAATATGAGAATCCAGAGATTAAAATTCATGATCTTGCATTGACATCTTCTTCTTAACATCACCTGTGTTTTTCTAGTCATTCAAGGGTTGAAATCCTTGCATGGCCAGCAATGTCAGCTTCATTAATAAGTTCAGAGCTCCCAATGGCTTTAAAATCCCTGTGTCAAATATCCCAGCATAGATTAAGAAAGAATCGCCAATCTTGATTTTGTTTTGCTAGTGGCTACCAGAAAATCCCTTGCCATTACTAGGAGTTTTCCTAGTAATCAGCATCAATTGGATAATTGTGGAGAATTTAAACATCAGCTTATCATTTGAAGTTTTTTTCATGTAGCAAAAGAAAACCATTTTCCAGCCTATTGTTTCAACAAAATATGTCTCTTTTCTTAAGAAGTTTCAAAAGAATGCAACTTTATAAAACCAGAGATAAGAGTATTTAGCAGTAGTATCTCCATGACGGATCAAAGCAAACAAGATAAAAAAAAATTTGCAAGAAAGCTCAAACCCTTTGGGACTTGTTTTGAGGAATAGCAATGTTTGCTATTTATTGGTTGATTGTTCTTACTGTCTGAAAAGTTCTCCTGATTTCTAGATTGAATCTCTCTTTGATCAGTTTCCATTCATCATTTCTTGTCTGGCCTTCAGGTGCCTTGGAAAATAGCTTGATCCCTTCCTCTTGGTGGCAGCCACTCAAATATCAGAACACTGCTATCGTGTCTGCCCTAGTCCTTCTCTTCACTAGACTAGCTATGCCCAGTTTCTGTAATCGTTCTTCATATGTTTTAGTCTTCAATCCCCTAATCACTCTGGTTGCTCTTCTCTGCACTTTTTCTAGAGTGTCAACATCTTTTTTGTAGTGTGGTGACCAAAACTGGATGCAGTATTCTAGGTGTGGTCTTACTAAGGCTTTATAGAGTGGTATTAATACTTCACTTGATCTTGATTGTATCCCAATGCAATTTAGGATTGCATTGACTTTTTTGGCTGCCGCCACACACTGCTGGCTCATATTTAACTGGTTGTCCACCAAGACTCCAAGATCCCTCTTACAGTTACCGCTATTAAGTCTGGTTTCACCCAGTCTATAGGTGTACTTTTGGTTTTTCTTGCCTAAGTGTAAAACTTTACTTTTCTCTATGTTGAATTTAATTTTGTTAGATAGAACCCAGTGTTCAAGTCTGTCAAGATCCATCTGGATCTTGAGCCTATCTTTTAGGGTGTTAGCTATTCCTGCCAGCTTAGTATCATCTGCAAATTTGGTGAGTTCCACTTCTATTCCCTCATCTAAGAAATTTATGAAGATATCGAAGAGTACTGGGTCTAAGATGGAACCTTGTGGTACCCCACTGCTTACTTCCCTCATGTAACGTAGACCCATATCTGCTATGAACTCCATGTAGAGCACATACTTTTGGAAATGCAGATATATGCAGCCACATCAGGGTAGGGGACTCTTATTCAAATTAATCAATCAAAAATCCAGAAGTCTTCAGGCATATAGATGGCTCAATTTCTATATTTCTGCAGCCAGAGCAGAGTTTCTGAACTGTCACCTGTTAGACATATTGATAATGTAAACAAGCTTAAACTTCTTTTGTATTTTGATGCTCTTGGACTTCTGCACCCACTAAAACATGAATCACTCAGACTAGTCTTTTCATTTGGGTTTACTAGAATATTTCCTGTTTACACTTTTCAATATTTTTTTCAAAAACCAAAATTGCTAAGTATTGTGACTCATTGAATCTTATAGCTTCATAGGGTAGGGTAGTGCTGCTCTCTATGGGGCCTTGCTGCGAGAAAGCCAGGCTTTCAATGCCTACAGCAATAGGTAGGATGATGGAGGCATCTCGAGAGTGGAGCCTTCAATGCCAAGTCCCTCTTCTGCTCCCATGAAAATCATCCCCCACCCCACCCCACCCACTCCAGTTAAATGTGTGTAGAATGATAAGGTTTGTTTTAAATGGATAAAAAGATCTGTGTTATCAAAATCCAAGTAAAAGTAAACACACCGCTGATCCTAATACTGGTAGGCAGAGGCAGAATTTTTGTTTTCTTGTTTTCCTCCCAAAAATTAGGTTGCATTTTATAGTCCGGTGCATTTTATAGTCTGAATTTTTTTTTTCTTATTTTCCTCCCCCCCAAAATAAGGTGCATCTTATACTATGGAGCAATACAGTACTTAAGGCACCTGTTATTGCTGACAACAGTCACTGGTATAAATCCCATTGTGTACAACAAGACTGATTCTTTTAATTCAGTTTATAAGTGACTTGCAGAGGGTTTGTGAGACCTGCAGAGTGCTCTTGGGGGCTGGGGAGGGCAAAAATGCACCCATTTTTGCAAAAAACATGCCCGTTTTTGGCCTCCCCCCCAGTCATGTTTTTGCCCTCCCCAATCTCCAGAAGTACTCTGCAGGCCTCACAAACCCTCTGCACATCCCATTTTTGTGAAAAACAGGTCTGTTTTTGGCAAAAACAGGACGTGTAGGGTGGGGTTTTGGGAGGCCAAAAATGACTGTATTCAGTATATAAGACGCACCAACATTTCCAACCTCTTTGGGGGGGAAGTGTGTCTTATACTCCGAAAAGTATGGTACTTCATGATACCTCTTTGTCCCATGGATCACACTTGTAGTTATTCTGAAAGAGGTAAGCCCTGTGCTGCTGTGCACTGTATTATTGTAAGCAACATCAGCAAATGGCAGGAAGTCTGCTCAGTTAGTTTGCTTCTTAAATATTGTTCTATCATTGCGTTTGCTCATTCCACTGAGTTCATACCCAGATGAAAAGCTGAGCTAAGCCCTTGGAAGGATCCTATCAGTTTTATGAACTCTCTCCAAAATTTAGCAGGGAATTGGACACCTCGGTCCATGATGGTTCTCCCTGGCATTCTGTGTAACTGGTAGAAATTCTGGAGGAATGTCCTTGCCAAATTTTGTGCAGAAGGTGACTTGAGCAGATGTCAGGGTTCCAACTAACGCACCCAAAGAAATCAGAACTTTGAGGCAGGAAGTTTCCTCAAAGAACATGCTTTTTGGGTACATCATATAGTGCAAACCAACTCTAAAAGTTTCCCACAATTTTAGCATAATTAAAAGAGTAAATGATTCCCTCCTCAAGTGTCACAGGTCACATTGCCCAATAGAAGTATTTGGTGGGCTCCTTGTCACTCCTCTCCTTCTTCAACCAACACCTGTAGGGATGACCTTGGGTCCCATGAAAAGGTTCATTGTTATGTTTGTGAAGCATTCCATTCTCCTCCCTGCCCCCATAGTGTGTGGCAATTGTGAAATAGCAAAATGGCTTCAGACAGGTTTGGTTCAAAGTTGACAGCAGGCTACAAAGTGAGCTCACATAGAGAACAAGTCAATCACTGTCCAAATAACAGTATTTCCCACATTCTCTCAAAAGCCACCTGGCATTCCATCATCCAGTTACATTATTCTCTCCCATTTATCATTTCTTGGGGGAATTGTCTGCTTAAAATAATAATACAATTTGTGGCAAGAAATCCTCTTATGGAAAATGCTACAATTAATCAAAATCTTGGTTTACCCAATCTCATCTTGTGAGACGAATAGTGATCAAAAGTCACAGAAAATGTATAGACTTGAGGAATAATACTGGCAATTCTGAGGTCCCCTGGCTGATAATACCGGTGACTTATTGGCAGAGGGTAATAGATATTGCAAGTAGCAACTGGGAGATTAGACATAGTCTGAGGCAGTAGCAGTAATATCAGAAACAGAAAGGGTGGCATTACGTAGCAACTTCTTGTGGACATCAGAACCTATAAGGATTTCTGGAAGATTTAGTGTCCTCTCACACTTTCCACTAGGTATATTCAGGGGAAGATCACCAAGCAGTCTCTGTTGGATTCCTTTCTTGAAATGGCAAGACATTTTTTAATAGTATATTTTGATAAGAGATTCTATCTTGTGACAAAGTATATTGGTTGTCCTTTGGGACATGAAGTAGAAGATACCATTAAGATATAGTGACTACATGGGAGATAATCATATTTACAAACTTACTACTTCTTTGCAATATTGTAGAAGAAAATAACTTAATTGTATATTTCAATATGTGTTAGCTTTTTCCTTGTGAGTATGTTATTATACAGTTTGAAATAGGAATGATCTCTCTATCTCCCACTCTCTCCCACTCCCTTTCTCCTCTCTCCAGTATAAAATAGTATTGCTACCATCTTCTTCTTCTTCTTCTTCTTCTTCTTCTTCTTCTTCTTCTTCTTCTCCTCCTCCTCCTCCTCCTACTACTACTACTACTACTACTAATAATAATAATAATAATAATAATAATAATAATAATACTGCAATAATACTGTAAAATAGTGTCCCACACTTATGCTAACAGGGAAAGTAGCATGAAATATTTTCTCTGATTGTACATCCATTTGCATCTTTATCTGTGATAGGGTAGGGAAACAATACCCAGAATCCAGTATAGAAAATGTCAAACTTCTAAAAAAATAAAGCACATTATTGTTTTAACAACAACAACAAAAAAAAGGAATGTCAAAATGAATGCAATTGACGTGTGAACATGAACAGTAAATAAAAACTTAGGGGAATTTGTGAACTTTTTTTAACACATTGTAGTACCTACAATGGTTAGGTGTATATTTCACAGAAAAACAGGGTGAATTCAAAGTCACTCTTTTTAATGAATACAAGGCAATGCAGTGAATTTCAATTCACAGATATGATGTACAGAAAATTCTTAAATGATGAGAAGCATTTATAGTAATAATTATAATAATTATACATAGCATTTATACAAATATTCTCATGGTTGTAGGACTTAATGAATGAGGGATACTAACAGTGAAAGTAACAATTAATCAAATTCTGGCTGAGATTAGAGGGTTATTAGTCAATTAAAGAAAAATTGCCAGGTCTGCAGGCAAAGGCACCTAGAAGGACTGAAGTCTATATTTCTGCAGCCAGAAAGGATTTTGTCAATTGTCAGATTTTAGACAATGATATTCTGAGTAAGACTGAGCTTGGGGTTAATTTGTTTTTTGGACACTCTTGGGTCTCTGCACTCACCGCAGAAGACACTCTCAAATGGAACTTTTATTTTTAGCTGACTGTAAGTCTATACTCTTTAACAATTGTTTCTGTTTACACTTCTCAAAGTTGTGTTCAGCAGCTATACCTCTTAAGTATGGTGAGTTATTACATCTTATACTGTAGCTTCAAGGGGAAGGATCGTTCACCTGCTCAAAGCTAAGAGGTTTGTCCACATTTTGTGCTACAATATTTTGATTACTACCTTATTAGGCACGGTTGAATGGAGAAACACAGAACTATTTATTATTACACTTAAATCCAGCCATTTTTTATTTAAAAAGCTTTTAAGGTAGCTATCAATGCAACCCTAGAGTGGTTTTGTCACTCATATAAACCCCATTGTATAGCAGACTAATTTCCATGAATCATTTTATGAGGGTTTTTCTCATGAGTTGTTGCCTGTTATTCAACTCAGGTCTTATCAAGATGGTGTAGAGTTTGGGGAAGAAAATGAGGACCAATAATCCAGCACTTGAGGCTAAAATGGAGAAGATCTCCACAGCCACCGTGTATTTTCCTTTGGTGCTCTGGTAGGCTGGAACAAAAGAGATCCAGACACTGCAAAAGAGAAGCATGCTGAGGGTGATAAATTTGGCTTCGTTGAAACTGTCTGGGAGGTTCCTGCCAAGGAAAGCCACTGTAAAGCTGATCACGGCCAAGAGGCCAATGAAACCCAGGACACAATAAAACATGGCAGCAGAGCCTTCATTGCATTCCAGAACCATTTCTGTAGGCAGCGAGTACATATCAAGATCTGGGAAGGGAGCAGAGCTCACCAGCCACACAGTGCAAAGAGTGATTTGAACGAGGGAGCAGGAAGGCACAATGAAGAGGGCCAACTTGTTCCCTATCCAAGTCCTCATCTTAGAATCTGGCCTAGTGGCCATGAAAGCTAAGACCACAATGAGAGTTTTGGCCACTACACAAGAAACTGCCAGAGAGAAGATGATTCCAAAAGCAGTTTGGCGAAGGAGACAGGTTGCCATCTGAGGCCGACCAATGAAAAGCAAAGGGCAGAGAAAGGAAAGCAAAAGGGAGGCCAGGAGGGTGTGGCTGAGGCCCTGGTTATTGGCCTTGACGATGGGTGTATTCCTGTGTTGGACAAAGACTGCAAGGACCAGAGCTGTGATGGAAGAAAATAAAAGAGCAACAATGGCCAAGGTGATCCCCAAAGGTTCTTGAAAAGATAGGAAACTGATCTCTTTTGGAATGCACTGATCCTGGGCTTTACTGGGATAGTGATCCTCTGGACACTGGTAACAAGAATCCATATCTGAAAAGGTAAAAAAGTCTTTTTGGCAGTAGACCAAGATCAGAAGATAAGGAGAAACCTGGCCCATAGAATCACCAGAAGTGAACATGACTAAATGAATATCATCATCATCATCATCATCATCATCATCATCATCACCACCACCACCACCACCACCACCACCACCACCACCACCACCAAGCAATGGTGTTTTTATGAGACATAATTCAGAGCCTAACAACCTTTGTTTATTTACTTTTCATTCGTTAGGTTTATATCCCAGTTTTCCTTCAGATGTTCTTGGCAACATACCTAGTCCTCTGTTGTTTTGCTTTCTCTACAAAAACAAGCTGGTGGGATATGTTGAGAGAATGACAGGATCTAAGTCAAAGTACGCATTCATGATAAATTGTGGAGAGACTTATGTGAGCTCAGCCACAAAAACTAACATATTTTATCCTTCTTAGAAATCTTCCTCAAGTACTATGAGTCTCAAAACCCTCAGGATGTTCCAAGCCAGGTTTCAAAGAAGGTAAACTAAAAACTGTTCCACCAATTTGAATGAAAATGGGCATGATTTGTTCTCTTCTAAACCCTGAACATCTCTGTAACTCTCACCCTGTTGTGTGAAATCTCTACACATAAACACTACAATTTTGTATGAACAGTTAGGGAAAGTGCATTTGGTCTTTCACAGCAGCTTGTTAAAGCCAGTGGTAGGCTCCCAGATCAGTCCGGTAGATCAGGCAGCCCCCAAACCAATTGTGGTGCAAAGGGAGACACAGTACAAGGTAAAGGAAATCCTACCCTCTTTTCCACAAAATAAGACATCCCCTGATAATAAACCCAATCAGGCTTTTGAGTGCATGGCAATAAGGCCAAACACTTATTTCAGGGTTTGAAAAAATATAAGACAGGGTCTTATTTTCGGGAAAACACAGTAGATGCTAGATGGCACAGGGGCCAGTTGAAGTACCTAGTGCAATGGAAGGGGTACCCACTCTCCGAAGCTACTTGGGTCGAGAGCTGGGATGTAACAGCAGATAGATTGGTCAAACAGTTTCATGATAAAACCTAAGGGGCTTCCAGGGGGAGGAAGGGAAGATTAGACTGAACCTTGAATAACCCTTTTTATGATTTTTTTCTTTGCAGGAACTCCTTTTTAATTAAGGGGGGTGCCTGTCAACCGGGGTGAAATGCTTTCGGTTCAGTCTGGTTCGGAGAACTGGTAGTGATGGCGGCATGAGGCTCCACCGACCTGCCCCGTCATTGTTACTTCCTGGTTTTAACCAGGAAGTAACCTGTTTTTTACCCTCTGCACATGTGCAGAAGGGTTTGCACATACGTAGAAGGTACAAGAGTGTACGTGACAGGCACGGCACATGAACTTCTGAACTGTTTGGAAAGGTAAGTAGATTTTCCCCCTGCTGTCAACCCTGAAGCTGACCTGTCTGAGGCCATTTTGATACTTCAGTGTTGCCACACTGGAGCTGGGGGATACAGAGAGGGGAATAGAGATAGTTAGGGTTTGTAGCTAAAACAAAATACTTTCTCCTGGAAACCAAGGACATTCCCACAGATGGTCGATGAGAGGAGGAGTGAAGTTACCAGGCAACTGGATGACACCTTATGGACCATGTGACTGATTGTTTGGGAAGGGACAAAACTGTTACTTTTAATTAGGTGAAAACCGTGGGAACATTCAGAGTCGGTTTTCATCAGTCTGTGCCAATATGATACATCCAAATAAAACTATTCCTTGAGAAATCTACCTGCTTCAGAGTTATGTTTGCTATGGATGTATTACTTGGAATCCTGATCACTAAATTTGGTAGGCATCATACCTTACCTGTCCAGTTTGACACTTTTCCTTCTGGGCATGGAAGGCAATCGTAACAACAAAATGGCTTCCCTTCCTTCTTGATCTTGCTGTGACCTTTATGACAGGGTTCATTACACAAAGAACGAGGCTGAACCTGTGTGCAATGGGAAGTCATAATTGCTTTAACTCTTAGCAAAACCTACTGGAAAAATGAGTAAAGTACAATACGGAATCTTGGACTGAAGCTGGTATAGCCATATTATTTTATTTCTAATTAGACAGCCATGGGAAGTAATGTGCACATGTCTCTTTAAAAAAGTTCTTATTAACTAAATACAAACTAAAAATCAAAGGAAAAGATAAAGCGTACACGCATGTATAATAGATGAAAAAAAGAAAGAAAGAGGGCATAAATTGACAAGCGTAAATACATTGTAACAGCAGGCATTGCTTAGGGCAGCAACTCTAGAACCATATTCATTATTCTAGTACAGGGATCCACAACCCCTGGGCTGCAGCCCACTATCAGGCTGCAGCCCATTCAGTACCAGGCCACAGAAGTGGTGGGCAAGTTTGCGTGCATGTGCACGCAGCTCTATTTGCGCAAGAGGCAGGCACGTGCACTCATCACTTGCACAAATGGAGCTGCGAACACGAAAGCCTACTGCTTACGCGGCACCATCCTCTCCACCCCCCATTGGTCCACAAAGCTGGAAAGGTCGGAGACCACTGTTCTAGTATCTAGAAGTCACCCTTATAATCTGCACCCATAGTAAAGAAGATCTTGGGAAACTCTCATTTCTAGATGTCCTAATCATCAAAACTGAGAACAAGCAAATGACATAGCAGTGCAAAAACCTGACCATACAGAGGTCGAGCTACATACAGACACCAATCATCATCCCAGTCAGAAAAGAAACATGATCAGAAGAGAAGCATGATCAAAATAGTAGACAACCATGCCAAATGTTTCTGCGAATCTAAGAAATTATCTGAGTAATTAAGATATTTTAATCAGGCTCTATATACTAATGGATGATCCACTAATGAGATTGGCTGAGTATGACACTTAAGCAGGAAAACAATAATAAATACATCCACTCCCAATAGGAAAGGTAACTGTGAGCTGTGGTGGCGCAGTGGTTAGAGTGCAGTACTGCAGGCTACTTCTGCTGACTGTCGGCTGACTGCAATTTGGCAGTTCAAATCTCACCAGGATCAAGGTTGACTCAGTCTTCCATCCTTCCGAGGTGGGTAAAATGAGGACCAAGATTATTGGGGGCAATATGCTGACTCTGTAAACCACGGTAAAGTGGTATATAAGTCTAAGGGTATTACTTTTTTTGGGGGGCGGGTTGGTTTATATGCCACCCTTCTCCGGAGACTCAGGGCGGTTTACAATGCATTAAGCAATAGCCTTCATACTTTTGTATATTTATACAAAGTCAGCTTATTGCCCCCACAGTCTGGGTCCTCATTTTACCTACCTTAGAAAGGAAGGAAGGCTGAGTCAACCTTGAGCCTGGTGAGATTTGAACTTGCAGTAATTGCAGGCAGCTGATGTTAATAAGAGTGCTTTAGTCTGCTGCGCCACCAGGACTCTTGCAATTACTATTGCTATTTCTCCCCTACATAGAGAAGGTCATGTACCAAATAGGAATTTTTTTTAAAGAAACCACCACTTTAAAACCTTCCAGAACTTGACTAAGAAAGAAAAAAAATCAAGAAATCATCTGATTAACCAAAGACAGCAGAGACCAACTGACAGAAACCAGTCTGTATTGCATCTCCTGTAGTGTGGACAGATATACAGTAGTACTACAAAACATAGTTTCCATGCCCAAGTAAAAGAACATGAGAGGCACTACCCCCAAAAAGATAACCAGTAGCAGAACATGTACTACGTCATAATAAACATGAGAGTCGATTCAAGGATGCACAAGTGACATCAACAATATCAAACTACGCATTATTCCAATAAATGGAAAACATCATTTGTTACAGTTACCCATAATTAATTAATTTATATTGAACAATTTTGCAGCCTTCTGAATAGTTGGAGCACACTCTGAAAATACCTGGGCCAATTATCAAAAGAGATTAAATTATTATTATCAGAATGTGTACAAACTGTAGATTTAGAAACAAGATCCAAAAATAGACCGTGATATATGCTTATTGCTACTTGGTGGATACTGGCTATGGTCTCAAGTGCAAATTGGCACATTTACTCCTTTAGTAGCCTCTTCTATCCTTCCTTCCATGAGTAAAACATTCAGGGATTGAAAAACATTAGCTACTCAGGCCAATCTGTATGCTTGTCCTTCTAAATACTTGTAATTAGAGGTAACAATATTAAGATATTTCTGCTCAAATTCTACAGAGGCGAAAAATACTAGCTGTTTTAAAGCAGCTTTCCATTCCCAAAAGAATCAAAATAACAGAATAACAGAGTTGGAAGCGACCTTGGAAATGTTGTAGTCAAATCCCTTGCTCAACCAGGAGACCCTACACCATTCTTCTTAAAATCTCCAGTGTTGGAGCACCCACAACTTCTAAAGACAAACTCTTTCATTGGTTAATTGCTCTCACTGTTAGGAAATTTCTCCGTAGTTCTAGATATTTTCTCTCCTTGATTAGTTTCCATCCATTGCTTCTTATCCTGCTTTCAGGTTGGAGAATAAATTGACCCCCTATTCTTTGTGGCAGCCACTTAGAAATTGGTACCCTGCTATCATGTCACTACTGGTCCTTCTTTTCATTAAACTATCATTTACCATATTGTTAAGTAATTATTCTTGGAGTGAAAAGTAATTTAAAAATGTTTGCAGAAGGATACATGGCTACTAGATATAGCAATAGCAATAGCGCTTAGACTTACTGTATATATTGCTTTACAGTGCTTTACAGCCTTCTCTAAGCAGTTTACAGAGTCAGCATATTGCCCCCAACAATCTGGGTCCTTATTTTACCCACCTCAGAAGGATGGAAGGATATTTAGAATCTTTCAAATCAATTTTGGTTATATAGTTATTTGGAATAAGCATCAAGTAACTGACTTAACCTGACATGGCAATATGGTTACTTTACTATTTATATTCTTAATTTAGAGCAGAGAAAATAATGAGATAGACTGCAGACTGTAAGAACATACTCGGTTAAATCTCCTTGGCCATCTGATAGCATCAACAAAAAGACTGAAAGCATCGTCTTTGGGAGCTCTGAGATCAAATGTCCCCACTTTGACTCGATATAGTGTTAAGTTTGGGAATGTGATCCAATTGATAATATCAAGCCCTGCTTCCAGGTTCCCATTTTGATCAAAAGAAATCATCTTCCCAGCGCTATTGTTAAATGAGACTTTTCTGAGATAAGGGTGTAACTAAAATGAAAGTGGGGAAAAAAACAATGAAGCACCACAAATGTAATACAAGCAATATAACAGAAAGGACTGAATTAGTAATGCCTAACCAAACTACCAATATTCATAATTAATATACAGTTAAACAGGTTCTTATTATTAGTGCTTACAATATGTCAAAAATTTAAACATGAAGCCAAACCAAGCATGGAGGAGGAGGAGGAGGAGGAGGAGGAGGAGGAGGAGGAGGAGGAGGAGGAGAGGAGGAGGAAGAAGAAGAAGAAGAAGAAGAGAAGAAGAAGAAGAAGAAGAAGAAGAAGAAGAAGAAGAAGAAGAAGAAGAAGAAGAAGAAGAAGAAGAAAGATATTGAATATAAGAAGAGAATATAAAGGACCAAGATGGCATAAGTAACTTGAATTAAAAGAAATGAGCAAAGAGATAAACCAAGATTCATGTATCAGATATAAAATTGTGTTCCTAACTCTCTACTATAACTATAAGAGTTATAGTTATCTAATAAAAAATGAGCTTTGTTCCTATAGTTTTCTTGAAATTATTTCAACAGGAATATCCTATGCATTTTGACAAAGTTATATATTTTGGCCATTTCATGTGAGGAAATTCACTGGCAAAAGCAATTGTGTTACATTAAGTTAGTAGTAAAAGGAAACCAGGCAGTCAAAGAACACAGGGGCTGAACACCATCAAAGCTGACATGAACCTGAGTACAGAAAAACTCAAGGTAGTGCAAGATTGGAAGATGTTGAGAGACCAGACCAATAGAATCGCCAACAGTTGGACAAAATTGAATGACACAATTGATAACACCATAACCATCATATGTTAGATAATAATGTTAACATTATAAAATGAAGAGTTCAGTGTATGTAGACAAGCATTCCTAAGAGTGAGAACATGACAATTTCTTTAAATTTGTGATTTCAAGACATTACCTGCCAAAGCATTGAATTCAGAATATTCTTTTGTCCTTCCTCTGATATAGTTCTGTGTTTGAACACTGATGAACTCACGGACTGCAATGCATGGGCCACAGCATAAACTGCATTGTAGACACTGTAGCTGTGGGGAGTTATGCTCATGTCAAAAACAGACTTAGGAAGAGCCTCTAGCTTCTCTTCCCCACTGCAATGATTCGAAACATTGTCCTCTAAGGTTGTTGGGAAGGAACAATCAAATGCCTGTCTCCAAAAGTCTTTAATAAAACCATCTCTGGTTTCCACATTAGGGTTTCTCCTCTGAAGAAAATTTTGGAAACCCACCACCTCCTTTGATTGGGTTGCAAAGGCTAAGGAACCATGAAGGGTATCTAGATCCCAAGATCGTTGGAAAGGAACAGAAGTGAAATCCATCTGTGCGGTCATCATCCAGACTTTACCTGTCTTCATTTGTTTGTCTTCAACTTCCAAAATTCTGGGAAACATCCTCAAAAAGATGGTAGTGTGAATTTCACCATGTAAAACCACAACACTGGCAATGCTATCACTTATCAAGGCATACAGTTTGACCCATGATTCCATCATTTCATGAATACCACTTTTGAAATACACAGTTGGGAATGGTTCTATAAAGTCAAAGCAGATACCACTTTGGGAAAACTTGGGAAGTTCCTTCTGTATAAACCTGAGGCCATTGTCATCCTCTATAAAAATGACACCAGTCCAGGTCCATCTGAAAAACAAAAGCAGTTGGAGCATCCCTGTATATTGCTGGTTTCTATTAGGGAGCATCCATTGGAAGAAGTCTTGTTGGGATGGGTCATTAATCACAGGAGACAATCCATATCCAAGCTACAAAAAAAAAAAAAAAAAGCAAGACTAAGTAGGTAGCATTTCTTTTTTTATTGTCTGAACTTTTATTGTCTTAAAGTTGAATATCATATTTAGGGAAAGAGTGGAAGAAGATGAAATTTGATGGGAATAAGTCCTGTTAAGTATGGAGCTTAACTTTTCTCTATCTTCCAAGAGTTAATGGAAGTTTGGACTTTTTGTTAGTTCTTTACTTCTTGTTGCAATAACCACTCATATGCTACAATAAAGATAATTCTCTACCAAAATAATTACTCAATATTTGGATTTGAACAAATAATTACCCAAAATTGGTGTAACAATAGACAGTCATCTTTTTAACCTGGACATGGAAAAGGTGCAACATCAATTGGTACATTTTAAATATGTAGACTACATCAATCAAGACCATTAAAATGATTTGCAGGGTGGCATTATCATCAACCCAAAAGCTGTCTCTGAATTCTTTAAGACAGAATTGGAATATGTTCCTAAGGAATTAAGGAACAGGGTATCTCTAGTTTAATGAAAAGAAGGACAAGGGGAGACATGATAGCAGTGTTCTAATATCTCAGGGGCTGCCACAAAGAAGAGGGAGTCAAACTATTCTCCAAAGCACCTGAAGGCAGGACAAGAAGCAATGGATGGAAACTAATCAAGGAGAGAAGCAACTTAGAACTAAGGAAAAAATTCCTGATAGTTAGAACAATTAATCAGTGGAACAACTTGCCTCCAGATGTTTTGAATGCTCCAACACTGGAAGTACTTAAGAAGATGTTGGATAACCATTTGTCTGAAGTGGTGTAGGATTTCCTGCCTAAGCAGGGGGTTGGACTAGAAGACCTCCAAAGTCCCTTCCAACTCTGTTATTCTATTATATTCTAAATCATACCCTTTCTGGTAGAAGTACCCTAGCCAGAATTGTTATATGTTACCCAAAGTATAGCCATGACATTACAATTATATCTATCTGGTCAATGAACAGCAAAATTTAAAATAACAAAAACAGTGAGGCAAATAGATACAATAATAAACTAGCAACCAACAAAATAAATCATATCATAATAATATAATATTCACTCCCTTATTACTATATTGGTAAATATATTTATAACCCAAATGATCTAAATCTAAAACATTAATAGATATAAGATAAAAACTATATTTCATCTAATTTAGTAAATAAGTTTAATCAAACCAAAAGTAATATTTTAAAAAAGGGTGATTGACCAGTTTTGTCTTCCTTTCATTTTGGCATCACAATATTTAGCTACTTGCACACATAGTGAATGGTTTTTAGATCCTGAAGGAGAAGGTTCATGTAAAATTTATCTGGACTCTTCAATAATTTATCTGTTAGGGCTAAAATGCCCTGAAGAAGCTTCTTGGATGAGAAGAGAATCATCTTCGAAGAAAAACGAGAAAGTCCAGTTGCCTCTTGAAAAAGCACCTTTGGGATTCCATTCCATTCCAATTTATCCTATTCCTGTTCTTGTTCTTGTTCTTGTTCTTGTTCTTGTTCTTGTTCTTGTTCTTGTTCTTGTTCTTGTTCTTGTTCCTATCCTATCCTATCCTATCCTATCCTATCCTATCCTATCCTATCCTATCCTATCCTAATTTTAATTCTATTGTGCATTCCATGTACCTTTCAAGTGGAAAATTACCCCAAGGTACTTAAATGTGCTGACCTGTTCTAATTTATGCCCTTTTAATCTCCAGGGACATTACTTCACTCTCTTAGTGAAATCCCAGATTTTTGAATTATCAAAATTGAAAACCAAATGATTGTATCTGCAGTACATGAAGTACATACAAGATATTGCTTTGGTTGCTCTTTTCAGTCCAACAGAGGTTTGTGTAATTATAATATCAGTGGCATCAGCATATAGAAGTATTGTGATTTTGTACCGTGTTAAATTGGGTGTTCTTATCCATATTTTGGAAAAGGTCTACCTATGAATTAATATAGAGATTGAAAAGGGAGAGAGCAAAACACATTCTTGTGGCATTCCTTTCTCCAAGTTTACTGTGCCAGAGAGGGACCAACGGGGGTTACATGCAGGAGTGAAATCTAATTTTTTTTGCTACCGGTTCTGTGGGCGGGGCTGAATTAGTGGGCAGGGCTTGGTGGTAAGGTGACTGGGTGGGCGTGGCCAAGTCAATGTCACTTCTTTGCCCTTTTTTAATCTACAAAACACAACACAACACAACTGGCTCACCCACAATGTAAAAGCAGCTGTGCTAGACTCAAAATGGCCCCGCAACAAGCAGGAACCTCACACAGCCACAAAAAGCCCCAAAAAACAACTTTCACACTTTACACACACACAACACAACACAACACAACACAACACAGCTGGCTCACCCACAATGTAAAAGCAGCTGTGCTAGACCCCAAATGGCTCCTGCAACAAGCAGGAACCTCACACAGTCACAAAAAGCCCAAAAAAACAACTTTCGCACTTTACACACACAATATTCCACATACAGCTTTGTGAGATTTTGTATGTTTGTGTAATTAGAGTGAAACACTACAGAAACACACTAAATCTCAGAAAGCTGCACAAATATTATTTTATTTTAATTTATTTTTATTTTTATATAAAAGCAGCTAAATTTAAAACTTCCTAAACTTTAAATGGCTAAGTCTAAAAAAAGAACAACTAAAAAAAATCCCAATTAACTATCTTTTTTAAAGCTCCTAAAGGGGAAAAAAACTTAACCAATAGAACAGGGGTCTCCAACCTTGGCAACTTTAAGACTTGTGGACTTCAACTCCCAGAATTCCTCAGCCAGCTTTGCTGGGAGTTGAAGTCCACAAGTCTAGGCAGGCAGGCAGAAAGAACTGCTCACCGATGAGCTTGATTTCAGGCAGGGAGATTCAGTTGCTTGCTGATGCATGGATTGCGATCGTCATGAGATCAGCAGCTAAGGTAAGCAAGCTGGAGGCTGGGGTGGGGGGGAGAAAAAAAGAAACTTTTTTTTCTTTTACATGGCTCTGGTGATCCAAGCTGAGTTGCCTGATTAGCAGGCAACTCAGCTGGGATGTCAGAGCTTGGCTGGTCAGAGCCATTTAAAAGGGGAAAAAAGGCTCTGATGATTGCAGGGCTCAGCTGGGCATGGGAGGCAGGGGCAGGGATTTTTGCTACCGGTTCTCCGAATTGTCCACCGCCATTGCTACCTACTTGCCCGAGCTGGTCTGAACCGGGAGCATTTCACCCCTGGTTACATGCAACAAACAAACAGGAGTTTGACAGCAAAGTCATGCCCAGAAACTGGCAGATTTGACTCCCCTCTGGTGAATGCTGTGGCTTTGAAATGTCTTTCCAGCCAACTCCCTGAGCCTTCACTTGTTATTGACAAGTGGAGGCCTTGGAACCTCTGACTGCTCCAAACTATGCCCCCTTCGCAAATGAAGGCAAGTATCCCAGGATAATGTTGCAAAATCGAATCTGAATCAATCATCAGGACAAGAGGTTTAGTCTTCCGAGCTTTCAGACTTGTGCTGGAGCCCATCGTCAGGGAACTTCTCTATAGCAGAATGTGTCTACATCCCTGAATTTGGGCTCCAGCACAAGTCTGAAAGCTCAGAAGTCTGTGCCCCATCTGGCTTTTAAAATCTGATACTCTGGGTGTCTACCTTACCTGTGGTAACTTGTAGATGCTCAGAATGGTTGCCATGAGAAGACATGCTTTGGAGTCGGGTCCCCCAATCACAGCCACAGTAGTACTTTGGGCATCACATTTATAGTTTGGAATGAACTTGCCCCAAGTGGAGAGGAGCTCCAGTGAAGCAAGATAAGTTAAGCTTCCAGTGAAGTAGTCATTATAAATGTTGAAACCCAAGGAGATGTTGTGTAGCATCTGGGTATCATCATTGATCTCCTTCACAGCAAAGACAAGAGCCAAGATATGCTGATAAGTCTGAGTCAAAAATCTGTAATGAGATTTAACTGCACCACTGAATTGTCTCTACTTAAGAAGTTTTAGGCTTGTTAAATTACTATTCCTTAATATATAGGTATTGTATTTTGTAATATTAACAGAATCATAAGATATCTGGGCAACGTCATGATGGAACTCAACTATTTTCAACTGAAAAGATGGGGTCCACCAAAACTCACTTTGTTTTGGCAGCTCAACCCTGGACTTCCTAAAGCACCATACCAAAACCTAGCATAAAAGTGCATACATTTCAGTGAGTTGCTTTTAAATCTTCATCTAACTATCTCCATCTAAGTATCTCTGTCTGGATGATGATTCCAAAGATGCATGTCAGTGTTAACTTTGATTTTGAACAAGAGGACATGTGTGAGAGAAAATAAGAAGTGACCTTGGGTATGAATGGAAAAAGTTCTACCAACTGCTTATCTTCGCAGGAAATAGGGTTTAGCTATTCACTGTATATCCTACACCTAGAAATAGGATTTCCATTAGTTAAACATCCTCATTTTGAGATTTGAATTTCCCATTATTCCACCATCTTTCAAGAATACCGCTAGGTTGCAAATTCATCTTCTGCCACACCCTACATTCAAATCCCATCCTGATATTGTTCAGGATTACTTTACCGATTTATATTTTTAATAACTTTCAGTTGTCTTTCAATTCATAGTCTTTAATGATAGATGGAATGTTTTTATAATGGAAATCTTATACCTTATGATTTATGGTTTTCAACTTACGATTTATAATTTACCATTTTGTTGTTTGCATTTTGTTGTTTGTATGTATTCTAAAAACTTATGCACCAGAGACAAATTCCTTGTGTGTCCAATCACACTTGGCCAATCAAGAATATATCAATCAAGAATATTCCAAATAAGTTAATGTCAATCTTCCTTCAATGTTCAGGAAAATGAAAAGGAACACTTCTCTTAAAATTATTTGCAAGTTAGAGAAGAAGCATAATGAGAATAAAAATAATAGGTCACAAAGAAGTGGGGAGAGTGGAACGAGCCTCAGTAATGTCCAACCATATAAAATTTAACTGATCATCTTTCCTGGGAACATAATGTAAAGTGGAGTCTCTTTCACTGGATGAATATTATACTGTAGCTCATTGAAGCTTAAAGAATAGTAAGTCCCTTAGTTTGATTGAAAAGTAATGGCTACAAATGTAAGAGAACACTTATCACCTGAACTGTTTGATTAAGGTATCAGTTGCTTACATGAGATCATCAAGGACTTCAGAAGAGGGATGGCGATCAAAGTTGAGAGGATTGGAAAACATGAAGCTTTGTGAACTAATGCCAGCTATGATCACATCCCCTGACTGATAATATTTATGGTTGATATTCCGTGGATCACTGTTCATGCATTTAGCAACTGGAACATCACATGATGTCAAAGGAAGCAGTATGAGAATCCAGAGATTAAAGTTCATGATCTTGTATTGACATCTTTTTCTTAACATCACCTGTGTTTTTCTAGTCATTTAAGGGTTGAAATCCTTGCATGGCCAGCAATGTCAGCTTCATTAATAAGTTCAGAGCTCCCAATGGCTTTAAAATCCCTGTGTCAAATATCTCAGCATAGATTAAGAAAGAATCGCCAATCTTGATTTTGTTTTGCTAGTGGCTACCAGAAAATCCCTTGCCATCTGGAGGAGTTTTCCAAGTAATCAGCATCAATTGGATAATTGTGGAGAATTTAAACATCAGCTTATCATTTGAAGTTTTTTTCATGTAGCAAAAGAAAATCATTTCCCAACCTATCCCAAAGGTGGTTTTTCAAGAGGCAATTGGACTTTCTGGTGTTTCTTTGAAGACATTTCCCATCTCATCCAAGAAGCTTCTTCAGCTCAGCCCAAGAGCTGAAGAACTTTCTTGGAGGAGAAGCGAAATGTCTTTAAAGGAAAACCAGAATGTCCAGTTGCCTCTTGAAAAACCACCTTGGGGATAACCATGACCTGGATAACTGAGAATCTCCATCGATATTGCCAACCTATCATTTCAACAAAACTTTGTTCTTTTTCTAAAAAGTTTCTAAAATAAGAGCTAAGAGTATTTAGCAGGAGTATTTCCATTTGGGGTCAAACCAGGCAAGGTGAAAAAAAAAATAAAGTTGCAAGGAAACTCAAACCCCTTGGGGCTTGTTTTGAGGTATCATGTTTGCTATTCATATATTTATTTCAGCTGAGTTTGTGGGGTTCCAATGCAGATTTGAGTCACTAACCTTCAGAATTTTTCTATATTTTTAAAATCTTTCCTAAAGTATGATAATTCACTGATATTTTTATATGAATTCATCCACCCTTATATCAGGAATCTCAATTAACTGAGGGTTGCAAAGTTTAGTAATTTGGATATGGAAACAATCATTTAGATAACATTGGGTGCCTATGACAGACCTGTTTTCCTATTGACCTTTCTTTCAACACTTTGAGTGGGACACCTGTAACATTACAACCCCACCCTGAATGGTGGTAATAATAATACTGTGTTAGTCTTAGGCAGGAGTTCTATTCAGCAGGTTCTGACAGGTTCTGGAGAACCGGTAGCGGAATTTTTCCCCCCCCCCAAATCATTTTTTATTTTAAAACAAAAAAAAAGAAAAATAAAACATACAAACATTGTTCATTCAATCAAGTACAGACAGTATATCGGATGGTTTGCATCCCTAGTGCCCTCTCCTCTCTTCACGATATTACTACATCTCCAAAATTTGATCTTATATAAAATATATCAGTTGTATCATCATTTAAAGTATTTCCACATTTGCTTACATATCACCATTTTTTGTTATCTACCCAATGGTAAAATAAATCCCATATCAAATAATATTGTTTTTTTCCTGCTCTCTTATTTCAAATGACAGTGTACTCATTTCGGCACAGTCCAACATTTTCCTAATAATTTCTTCATCCGAAGGTATCATTTCTTCTTTCCAATTTTTAGCAAATATGATTCTAGCTGCTGTTAAAAGGTTCACAATTAAATACTGTAGTTCTTTGTTATATATTTCTGGTAAAATCCAAAATAAAAATATCTCTAGTTTAAAGTCTATGTGTCTCTTGGTCATTTTTTCTAACCACATGTTATCTTAGTCCAATATCTCCTTGCTTCTAGGCATGTCCACCACATGTGGTAATAGGATCCTGGGGTCTGATGACATTTCCAACACTTCTCCGATTTGTTCTGGAACATTCTGGCGATTCTCGATGGGGATAAGTGCCACCTGTAAAACATCTTATACAAATGTTCTTTATATGCTATAGACATTGTCATTTTATAGTTATGAGACCACAATTTTTGCCATTTTTCTAAATCAATCCCATAGCCAAATTTTTCCCCCATGCTACCATCGTTTCTTTAACTTGTTCTTCTTCCAATTTTAACTCTAGCAAAAACCCATACAGCTTTTTAATAATATGATCATCAGCACCCATTAAAATCTTATCCAAATTAGTCAAAGCATTGTAAAACCCTTCTTGCTAACAATCTTCTCAATATCTAGTAAATATTTGCATATACGAAAACCAATCCATTTTAAATCCCTGTTCCTCTAGTTCCTGCTTTAATTTGAGTTCACCCTTTTCATCCAATAATTCACTATACCTAATAGTTTGTTCCTTTCTAAATATTATGGGATAAGAAAAAGCCTCTACTGTGGTTACCCAAACAGGTATTTTCAAATAATAAAGTTTTTTAACCTTCTCCCAATTCAGCCATAAAGCTTCATGTATTTGATGTCTTCTAAAATACCCTTGTATTTTTGTTCCTTTGTACCATAAGAAAGCATGCCAACCCATCAACAAATCGTGTCCCTCCAAATTTAATAATCTAGTATTCCTCAGAATTATCCATTCTTTCGTCCACATTAAACTTGCAGCTTGATAGTACCATTCAAAATTAGGCAGACCGAAGCCGCCCCCTTGATTTAGCATCTTGTAATAGTTTTAACTTTATTCTCACCTTTTTCCTTTGCCATATATATTTCATTATCATTTTATCCAAGTCTATAAAAAATTCTTTATCCAACTTAATTGGAATTGTCTGAAATAAATACAGAATTCTAGGCAAGACATTCATCTTAATAGTTGAAATCCTACCAATCAAAGACAATTGCAAGTTGCCCCATTTCAACAAATCTTGTCCCATCTGTTGTTTAAGCTTGTTGTAGTTATTTTTTTCAAAGCACTACATCTTGGTGTTAAATGTATCCCCAAGTATTTCACTTTATTTGTAATCTGCATTTTCAAAATCTCAGTCAATTCTTCTTTCTGTTTTTTCAACATATTTTTAGTCATTACTTTCGTTTTATCCTTATTAATTTTCAAGCCAGCTACTTTTCCAAAATCTCCAATAATTTCTGTTAATTTACTTATTGTTGTTAGTGGTTCTTCAATAATAAAAACCAAATCATCTGCAAAAGCTTGGAGTTTGTATTCTTCCTTTCAAATGCTCTTTATCTCTTTTTCTCCTCTGACATGCCTATTTTAAACTTCTAATGTCAATATAAACAGCAATGGGGATAAAGGACATCCTTGTCTCGTGCCTTTTTCTATTTCAATCACATCCATCAATTCTCCATTTACCATTACTTTTGCCAGTTGTTTAGAATAGATAGTCTCAATGGCCTGTACAAATTTCCTCCCAAAGCCCATCCTTTCCATTTGAAGGGTCATAAATTGCCAGTTTACATTATCAAAGGCTTTTTGCGCATCTAAAAAAACTAACGCCATCTGCTTTTCAGGATGTGCTTCATAATACTCTCAAGTATCCAAGATTATTCTTATGTTGTCCCTAATTTGTCTTTTTGGAAGAAATCCATTTTGATCTGAATGTATGAAATTATTTAAGTATCTCTTAAGTCTCTCCGCCAATATCGAAGCAAAAATTTTGTAATCCGAATTTAACAAGGATATAGGTCTGTAGCTTTTGATTTGTTGTGGGTCTGTATCTTCTTTATAAATCAAAGTAATATATGCCTCTGTCCATGATTTGGGTATTTCCTTCTTTGTCATCACTTCATTCATCACCTCCAGTAATGGGATGGTCAAAGGTTCTTGTAATGTCTTATAATATTCAGCTGGTAGGCCATCAGGCCCTGGTGCTTTCCCATTTTTTTGTTTCTTAATTGCTTCTATTAACTCCATCATCATTATGTTTCTTTCCAACATCTCCTCAATATCTTTACTAATCTGAGGTAGTTTTGCATTGTGTAAGTACTTAGACACTGTCTCCTCCTCTATTATCTCTCTTTTATAAAGTTTTTTTTATAAAACTCATGTATAATCTTTTCCATCTCTTTATGGCCAGATTTGATTTCCCCTTGTTCATCAATAAGGTGTGTTATGTTCCTCGATTCTCTTTCCTTTTTCAATTTATATGCTAGCCATCTGCCTGGTTTATTCGCATTTTCAAAATAATTTTGTTTAGCACTTCTTATCTTCTGAGCCAATTCTTCCTTCTCCAATAAATCCATTTTATGTTTTACTGTATTCATTTTAATTTTAACAATCTTCTTATGTGGATCATTCTGGAGTTCCTTCTCAAGTCTCTTATAATCGTCAGTCAGTATTTTCAAAGTTAATCTTTTTTTTACATTCTTTTTTCTTGTATAATCTATAATTAGTCCTCTAGCAAATGCCTTCATTATATCCCAGCGGATTTGTATAGATGTCTCATCTTTTTTATTTTCTTTAAAGAAGAAAGCCAATTCTCTTTCCATCTTCTGCACAAAATCTTGCTCTTTTAATATTGTATTATTTAAAGTCCATCTAGCTCTTCTTTTTTGTCCTTTCCAAGTTATCATCACCGGGTTATGATCCGCCCATAGATTAGTTTCTATTTCTACATCTTCTATATTCAACTATTCCATTATTGACCATATCATGTCCAACCTAGACCACGGTAAATGTCTATCTGAATAAAATGTATATTGTTTCTTTCCTTTAGTTCTTTCTCTCCATATATCTTCCATATTCATTTCCTCCATCATCTTAAAGAAGGACTTTGGCAATATTTTCCTACTGTGTTTTGTTATTTTATTTGTTTTGTAGTCCCAATTTTCCTCCACAATTCCATTAAAATCTCCCATCATGCATATATTATCATAATCTATTTCAGTTACTTTATTGTGTAATCTTCTGTAAAAATCACTTTGGTTTTCATTCGGAGCATAGATTGCTATTAAAAGAATTTTTCTGTTATTATCAAGTATTCCACCATCAAAATTCTCCCATCCGAGTCTGAGTATTTACATTCCGCCAAGATTGTCTTTTTAATATATATTACAACTCCTCTTTTTTTATTCTGCACTAAAGATGAAAAAAATTTCACCAGTTTTGGTTGTGTCAATAAGTATTCATGCTGTTTTTTAATGTGTACTTCTTGTAGACATATTATATCAGCTTTTAATTTCTCTAATTTGTGAAATACTGTCTTTCTTTTAGTGGCCGAATTGAGAACCGGTAGCGGAAATTTTGACTATTTGGAGAACCAGGAAATACCACCTCTGGCTGGCCTCAGAGTAGGGTAGGAATGGAGATTTTTCAGTATCTTTCCCCTGCCATGCCCACCAAGCCACACCACCCCCACCATACCGTGCCCACAGAACCAGTTGTAAAAAAAATTGGATTTCACCACTGCTTTGAACTATAATTAAAGTCAGCTTGGCCAAGCAAGCCTAAAGTGGAATAAGGAGGAAAATCCATGCTGAAATAAAGACAATAAATTAGCCTTCCCCATTCAAATGGTGCAAAGGCCTAGAGGTGAAGATGCTTTCCTCAGACTGGGGAGTTTGAGAGTTCAATCCTAGGCAGCAACAGATGTTTCTCTATCAGGGTACAAGGAGAAAACATCTGTGTGAACTCCATGTAGGCATCAGGAAGGGCAGCTGGGCAGTAAACGCTCAGCTCCATTCAGTCATCTCGACACCACCCAATAAAAGTGAAAAAGGAAAACAAAATAAAACACCCCTCCCTAAATCTAGGCTACCCCATTCCTAGGCACGCTTCTTAACCATTATATTCTGACATGATTTTTACAAATGTTAGAAACACGGGTTCTTGGCAGCCTCAATTATTTTCCTCCAGGAGGTTTTGATTGCAATCCCTGTCATCCTCTTATGCATAAAGTGATGCACATACTTTTGAAAATATATATACAGCCACATGAGAATAGGAGACTCTTATTCAAATTTATCAACCAAAAAATCCACAGATTTGCAGGCATCTAGATGGCTTAGAGCAGAGGTGGGAATCAGCAGGTTTTAAACAGTTCTGGAAAAATGGTAGCAGAAATTTTGAGTAGTTCGGAGAACCAGTAGTAAAAATTCAGACTGGCCCCATCCCCATCTATTCTCTGCCTCCCGAGTCCCAGCTGATTGGGAGGGAATGGGGATTTTGCAGTAACCTTCCCCTGGAGTAGGGTGGAAATGGAGATTTTACAGTATCTTTCCCCTGCCATGCCCACCAAGCTACACCCACCAAGCCAGGCCACTACCACCAGGCCACTCCCACAGAATCAGTAGTAAAAAAATTTGAAACCCACCACTGGCTCGGAGTCTATATTTCTCCAGCCAGAACAGAGTTTCTGAATTGAAATGTCATCTGTTAGACACACTCACAGTCTGAGCAATCTCGAACTTCTTTCGTATTGTGATGCTCTTGTACTTCTGCAGCCATCATTGAAACAAGAATCATTCAGACTAATTGTTTCCTTTTGGTTTACTAGAAGCTTGTTTAACAATATTTCCTGTTTACGCTTTTCAATATTTTCTTCATTAAGTATAATTGCTAAGTACTGTGACTCATTGAATCTTATAGCTTCAGGGCAGTTCAATGTTTAAAGCTGTCAAAATCAGGAAGTTTGTCCATATTGTGTGATAGACTTTATCTCTATAATGCTTTAATTATTCCACCATAGGCATGGTAGAATGGAAAGACATGGAAAATTATACATTTTATTTTACACTAATACACAAACATTTCATTTTCAAAAGCACTTAAGGCACATGTTATTGCTGGCAACAGTCACTGCTCTAAATGCGTAGAAGACTTGATTCCTTTAACTCAGTTAATGAGGATTTTTTGCATGAGTTGTTGCCTGTTATTCAACTCAGGTCTTATCAAGATGATGTAAACTTTGGGGGAGAAAATCAGGACCAATAATCCAGCACCTGAGGCTAAGATAGAGAAGATCTCCACAGCCACCGTGTATTTTCCTTTGGTGCTCTGGTAGGCTGGAGCAAAAGAGATCCAGACACTGCAAAAGAGCAGCATGCTGAGGGTGATAAATTTGGCTTCGTTGAAACTGTCTGGGAGGTTCCTGCCAAGGAAAGCCACTGTAAAGCTGATCATAGCCAAGAGGCCAATGAAACCCAGAACACAATAAAACATGGCAGTGGAGCCTTCTTTGCACTCCAGGACCATTTCTGTAGGCAGAGAGTGCATGTCAAGATCTGGGAAGGGAGCGGAGCTTGCCAGCCAAACAGTACAGAGAGTGGCTTGAATGAAAGAGCAGGAAAGCACTATAAAAAGTGCCAGCCTTTTTCCAACCCATGACCTCATCTGAGAACCTGGCCTGGTGGCCATGAAAGCTAGGACCACAGTGAGTGTTTTGGCCACCACGCAAGAAACTGCCACAGAGAAGATGATGCCAAAAGCAGTTTGGCGAAGGAGACAGGTTGCCCTCTGAGGCCGACCAATGAAAAGCAAAGGACAGAGAAAGGAAAGCAAAAGGGAGGCCAGGAGGGTGTAGCTGAGGCCTCGGTTGTTGGCCTTGACGATTGGAGTATCCTTGTGCTGAATGAAGACTGTGAGGACCAGAGCTGTAATGGAGGAAAATAAAAGAGCAACAATGGCCAAGGTGATCCCCAAAGGCTCATGGAAAGATAGGAAGCTGATCTTTCTTTTGAGGCACTGATCCTGGGTTTTGCTGGGATAGTGATCCTCTGGACACTGGTAACAAGATTCCAAGTCTGAAAAGGTAACACCAAATCTCTTTATTTAGACTGTCTGAAACAAGATAGAAAGAACCCTTCAATGCATAATCTGAACTCCAAAGAAAATTGCATGATTCTCAAACAATCGTGTGTGTGTACTTTTTAAGTATTATGCAGGCCTAACATCAATGTGCTTGTTGTTCAGTCAGTCAGTTTCCATGCACCCTTTTGTCAGAAACTCTGGGAAACACACTCACACTGGATCCTAGAAATCCTTCTGGCATCGACACAAAGAAAAAGGTTGAATTTCTATTTCTGTCAGGCCCAATTTCTATTCAACCTGATTTGTATATCATAATATCTGAACATCACAACTCACTCCCAATTTCAAATGCAGTCCATGAGATTAAAATAGGAAAAGCGGGTCCAGCTAGATGATCACTGAAGGACCCTCTTTGTTCATAGTATTGTAGAAGAGAAATTGTGCTTGCAAATGTATCCAGTTGAAATAAAAGGCAGACACATTCCTTCTTTGATGTAGAATCAGTGAGGAGAGGCCCCTCAGTTGCCCCTCAGTTGTCACAGATAAAGACAGTCTGCTGATTTACACTTTGAAGCTCAGAGAAACGGAGATGACCAAATTATTGTTTCAACAAGAAGATAATTTGAATCTATGCTTCAGTAACTTCTAAAAAGAATTATAACTGTTTGGCAAAGATAGTAACAAACTCAGTAATTAAGGTATGTCATTTTGTGTAACAAATGTCTTGTGATAATAAGAAATGCTGACTTCACAGAATCCTTTGTCTGACCATGTATAAAAACTGAGATGTTCGTTTCATGCGTTCGTTCAGACTTCCTTTGGTAACGATACCAGGTCTGATCCTTTATTGCAATAAATAAATAAACTGATTCTGTCTGCCCTAAAGGAATGTTTCTCTTTAATTCCTTCTTCCACAACAAGATCCTTACCCATTTGATTTGAAACTTTTCCTCTTGGGCATGGAAGGCAATCGTAACAACAAAATGGCTTCCCTTCTTTCTTCGTCTTGCTGTGACCTTTATGACAGGGTTCATTGCACAAAGACAGAGGCTGGGCCTGGGCACAAAGAGAAACAGACAAAGCAGAATCCTTAAGTGTTTGTTTGGTGTTGGGATAGTCACATAATACAGGTTTTTTTAGCTCCATAATCTTATGATTTGAAATGCACACCTAACATTACAACCATTGTTAAAAGGGCACAACAAATATTGTTATTTCTGCATCAAGTCAGAAAGTTCAGACTGGCTGAGGTGTTGTTCGTACAGTTCTACAGAGCAATTATTGAGTATGTCATTTGTACTTCTATAACTGTCAGGTTTAGTATAAGGACAGGTACAGACTTTAACAGATAATTAGGCCTACAGAAAAAACAATTGCAACAAGTAGGGGTGGGATTGAAAAATTTCAGCAACCGGTTTGCTGCCTGGTTGCTGGGTGGGCATGGCCATGGGGGTGTGGCCTACTTGGCCTCCTGCATCACGGCGGAGGGTGTTTTCACCCTCCCTAGACTCTGGAGGCTTTCCTGGAGCCTCCGGGAGAGCGAAAAGGGCCTTCCCCAGGCACTAGAGGCCCTCCGGAGGGCGGAAACAGGCATGTTTCTGGACTTCCGGTAGGTTAATTTTTCGCCTTCCCAGAGTCTCCATGTGCGCCCTGCATATACCTGGCATCCAAAAGGGCCACATGGAGACTCTTGGGAGGGGTGGAAGGGGTGGGCGGAGTCAGCCAGTTCTTGGAACAACCGGTTTGGCAAACCAGATTAAAATTAATATCCGATTTGCCCAAACCAGTCTAAACTGGCTGAATCCCACCCCAGCAACCAGCCTGCCTTCCATAGAAGACCAGTATATTTCATGAGTCAGAAAGAGGGCTGAGAAAATGTCTGGCTATACAACTATTTTGATTATCTGCATCCTGAACAGTGATGATCCCAAGTTTATCTGGAAAATACCTGTCTAAAAATCCTTGGCCACCTAATAGAGCTGGCATCAACACTGAATACTTGTCCTTTGGGAGTTCTGAAATCAAATCTTCCCACTTTGACTCGATGTAGACTTAGATTTGGAAATGTGACCCAGTTGACAATATCAAATCCTACTTCCAGGTTCCCATTTTCATCAAAGGAAATCATTTCTCCAACGCTGTTGTTAAATGAGACTTTTCTTAGATAGCGATGGAACTAAATTGAGTATAAAAATAAAGCAAAATGCATTAGAAAAATAATACAAATGATAATAGAAAGTGAGAATATTTCACAAAATATAATTAATCTTGTACTCAAACTAACAATAATCATGATCAAACATTGTTTAATCATGATCAAACAATGTAGTCAAGTGCTCCATCTGGAACCCATCAGGATCCATCAGGATCCTGATGGGTTCCAGATGGAGCTTGGGCCATTCCCTGAGGCTCTGACTCATGACTCGGCTGAAGAATTGGTGGCCGCCTGGGATAGGACAGCCACTGACGCTTTGGACCGAGTCGTGCCTTTGCAGCCTCTGACCCGTCGCCGAGTTTACCTGGCTCCTTGGTTCTCTGAGGAGCTGAGGGAGATGAAGCGCCCGAGAAGACACCTGGAGAGCAGTTGGAGGTCTAGCCGTTCCGAATCTGACCGAACACTGGTAAGATCTCATATTAAGACTTACCTAGTGGCGATAAAACTGGCAAAATGTAACTATTTTTCCACTCTTATCACATCTGCAGATAACTGCTCAGCTGCCCTGTTTAGGGTGACCCGCTCCCTCCTCCATCTGGGAGCGTGGGAGGATCCCTTACAGGGTCGGGCTGAGGATTTTGTCCAGTATCTGCACGATAAAATCACTCAGATTCGGGAAGGCTTGGTCTCTGACTGGGTAGGTACAGACTGGATGATGGAGGCCAGTCTTGAGAATGTCATTTGGGAAGAATTTGATCCTGTCGCTCCTGAGGACGTGGACAGGATACTGGGACAGCTGAATGTGACCACATGTTTATTGGACCCGTGTCCCTCCTGGTTGGTGCTGGCCTCCCGGGAGGGTACACGAGGCTGGCTCCAGGGGATTATTAACACTTCTTTGAGTGAGGGTGTTTTGCCGTCCGCCTTGAAAGAGGCGGTGATGAGGGCCCTCCTCAAGAAGCCCTCTCTGTATCCGGCTGTTTTGGCTAACTATCATCTGGTCTCCAACCTTTGCTTTGTGACAAAGGTTGTTGAGAGTGTTGTGGCACGACAGCTTCCTCAGAACCTGGATGAAGCTGTCTATCTAGATCCGCTCCAGTCCAGCTTCAGGCCTGGGCACAGCACAGAAACGGCATTGGTCATGTTGGTGGATGATCTCTGGAGGGCTCAGGATAGGGGTTGTTCCTCTATCCTAGTCCTGTTAGATCTCTCAGCGGCTTTTGATACCATCGACCATTGTATCATGCTGCGCCAGTTAGGGGGGTTGGGGGTGGGGGGCACCATCCTATGGTGGTTCTCCTCCTATCTCTCTGACCAGTCGCAGTCGGTGTTGGCAGGGGGGCAGAGGTTGACCCCGAGGCACCTATTTTGTGGGGTGCTGCAGGGGTTGGTCCTCTCACCCCTTCTGTTCAACATTTATGTGAAGCCGCTGGGTGAGATCATCTGTGGTTTTGGGGTGGAGTTCCATCAGTACACTGATGATACTCAGCTGTACATTTCCACCCCAGGCTGTCCCAACGATGCCCTTGAAGTGATGTCCTGGTGCCTGGAGGCCGTGCGGGTCTGGATGGGGAGAAACAGGCTTCGACTCAACCGAGACCGAGCGGCTGTGGCTTGTGGCGTCCCGATATAGCCAGATGGTGCCATCGCTGGCTATTGGGGGTGAGTTACTGGCCCCCTCGGAGAGGGCTCGCAACTTGGGCATCCTCCTGGATCCACGGATGTCTTTAGAAGAGCATATGATGGCTGTAGCCAGGGGGGCTTTTCATCAGGTTTGCCTGATTCGCCAGTTGCGTCCTTTTCTGGATTGGGACTCCTTACGCACAGTCACTCAGGCTCTCGTCACTTCCCATCTGGACTACTGCAATGCTCTCTACATGGGGCTCCCGTTGGGGAGCACCCGGAGGCTCCAACTGGTGCAGAATGCGGCCGCGCGGGAGATTATGGGAGCGATGGGTCGCTCCCATGTGACACCCCTCCTGCGTGAGCTGCATTGGTCTTCCGGGTGTGCTTCAAGTGTTGGTTACCATCTTTAAAGTGCTCCATGGCACACGGCCTGGGTACTTACGAGACCGCCTTCTGTCACTGATAGCCTCCCACCGGCCAGTATGCTCCCACAGAGAGGGACTCCTCAGGGTGCTGTCAGCCAGGCAATGTCGGCTGACGACCCCCAGGGGGAGGGCCTTCTCTGTGGCAGCACCTGCCCTCTGGAACAGCCTGCCCCCGGAGATACGTAGGATACCAGATCTCTGTGCTTTTCGCTGTGCCCTCAAAACTTTTCTATTTCACCAAGCTGGGCTGGCGTAACCCCCCTCCCCCCTGCAGGAGAAGGGCAGTATAAGAATTTAATAAAATAAATAAATAATAAATTATTGAATTACTTATAATAAGCCTATGCTAAAAACAAAATATAGATTTAAAGTAAAACTATCACTACTTCCAAGAATCTAGTTCATTAAAAAATAATAACTAATCAAACAAAAAACAAAATACAAGCATCTTGATATTTGTCCTGGTGACCCACTAAAATTGGGGTGGGTGGAAAGAAAAAAATCAAATTTCTCACATTTTCTTTTCATCATTGGAATCGCCTCTACTATTCCTTACTCTGATTTGGGAGTCTACCAATACAAGTTAGTCTTCTCATGCATGCTTTTTTTTCTCTCCTATTGTGCTTCCTACAATTGTGTTACAGTGGGAAAGCTGTATTCCTTTGTACTTAATAACATATCAAATTGAGGAATAAACATAATAAGTAGCCACCACATATATATTGGAAGCTGAAGAATTCTAGGCATGCATACAAACATTCCTTGCAATGGGAATCTGATATGAGCAATAATTACAATGCATTACAATGTAATAAATTATAGGAATAAGCAAAGTCTATCATCTAGCTAACTACTTCCTGCCAGGAGCAAGCAACATGTGCTCCCTTTCTGTGTATGCCCAAGAAAAGCAATAGGAAGGGAGCTGAAATCAGGGGTGAAATGCTCCTCTGATGATTGTGCGGCTCAGCTGGGAGAGGCTTTTAAAAGCATTTTTTTTCTGCAACTCTTCAGCTGAAGAGGTACGAAAAAAAATGCTTTTAAAAGCCTCTGATGATCCCAACTGAGTTGCTTGATCATCAGAGGCTTTTAAAAGCATTTTTTTACAACCTCTTCAGCCGAAGAAGTAGAAAAAATGCTTTTAAAAGAAAAAAAAAGGTTGGCCACACCCACCCAGTCACATTACCCCACCACCACCAAGCACCACAGAACCAGTAGTAACAGATTTTACATTTCACCACTGGCTGAGATTAGCAGAAACACAAATAATTAAAGAGGCAACAAAATCAATCCTTAACTTTCTTTTTGATCCTTGCTCTCTCTTGGTATTGAATAGAACATTGAAGAATCATTTCTATTGGATTTAGATCTCCAGACTCTCTAAATCCATCATAGTAACATTTTGTAAACAATGACAACTGCGAAAAAGGCAATGCCACTTCTAAGAGCAAGTCTAGGAAAACTCACCGCAGCCAACTTGCCATGGCCAACTCGAGATAACTATATTCTAAACATATTCCTCTTTTAAAATTATTAGTAATATTATTAGTTATGTTGTTGTTGTTGTTAATTGTATTCTTATACATTATTGTATTATTAGTATTAATTGTTATCTTATAATTAAGAGCTGTGGTGGCGCAGTAGTTAGAGTGCAGTATTGCAGGCTACTTCTGCTGACTGCTGATTGCCAGCAGTTTGGCAGTTCAATTCCAACCGGCTCAAGATTGACTCAGCCTTTCCATCCTTCCGAGGTGAGTAAAATGAGGACCCAGATTGTTGGGGTCAATAGGCTGACTATGTAAACTGCTTAGAGAGGGCTGTAAAGCAGTGTGAAGTGGTATATAAGTCTAAGTGCTATTGCTATCTTGCATTGAATTGTCCCATGGCAAATTGTTGGTGGCGAATTGGCAGCCACTTATTAGACATGGCAAGATGGCCCATTCCATTCTAAATATCATACAAAAATATCAACTTAATAGAGAATCGGCTTAAGTAGATATGGTTGTCCAATGTCTATTTGTGTATTCAGGATATTTATTACCTGCCACAACTGTTGATTCAAGAGCTTCTTCTGTCCTTCCTCTGACATAGTTCTGGTTTTGAACTTCAATGAAGTCATAGACTGCAGTGCATGGGCCACAGCATAAACTGCATTGTAGATGCTATAGCTATGGGGAGTTATGCTCATGTCAAAGACAGACCTAGGAAGATCCTCTAGTTTCTCATTTCCACTGCAGTGATTCCAGACATTTTCCTCTTCCAAGGATGTTGGGAAGGAACAGAGAAATGCTTGTTTCCAAAAGTCCTTAATAAAACCATCTGTGGTTTCCACATTAGGGTTTCTCATCTGAAGAAAATTTTGGAAACCCACCACATTCTGGGAGTGAATTGCAAAGGCTAGAGTACCGTGAAGGATATCTAGATCCCAAGAATGTTGAAAAGGAACAGAAGTGAGTTCCATCTGTGCAGTCATTATCCAGACTTTGTCTGCTTTCATTGGTATGTTTTCAAGTTCTGCAATTTGGGGAAACATCCTCAAAAAGATCGTAGTGTGAATTTCACCATGTAAGAACACAACACTGGCTGGGCTATTAATGATCAATTTGTATATTTTGACCCATGCTTCTATCATTTCATGAATGCCCGTTTTAAAATACAAGGTTGGCAATGGTTCAACAAAATCAAAGCAGATGCCTCCCTGGGAAAATTTGGGAAGTTCATTCTGTACAAACCTTAGGCCATTGTCATCCTGTATAAAAATGACACCAATCCAGGTCCATCTGAAAAGTGAAAGCAACTGGAGTATTCCCATATACTGTTGGTTTCTATTAGGGAACATCCATTGGAAGAAAGCTTGCTGGGATGGGTCATTAATCACAGGAGAAGATCCATATCCAAGCTATAAAGAAAGGAAAGATTAAGCAGGTAAAATGTCAATGTCTGAATGGTGGGTATTCATCTAATATTTTGAAACTAGTAAGGAAAAGAAGAAGAGCAATACAGTCTTAGTAAATTATTTGACAGTGTTATGGGAATGAATTGTGAAGCAGAGTGATGGCATTCAGGAAAAAACTGTCCTTGTGTTGTTTTGGTGCACAGTGCTCTATAGTGTCATTTTGAGGGTAGAAGTTTAAACAATTTATGTCCAGGATATGAGGGATCTGTAGATATTTTCACAGCCGTCTTTTTGACTCGTGCAGTATACAGATCCTTAATGGAAGGCAGGTTGGTAGCAATTGTTTTTTCTACAATTAACTGTTGAAGTCTGTGTTTGTCTTGTTTGGTTGCAGAGCCAAAGCAGACAGTTATGGATGTGCAGATGTGGTATATATATACAGATAGATTAAGTGGTCATTTTTCATTTGATTCGTGCTCTCTGTTTATAAGAATCATTCATACTGGTTGTGAAAATACATATGTGCAAGAAAAATGGAAAAACACGGGGACACAATTTACCTGTGGTAACTTGTAGATGCTCAGGATGGTTGCCATGAAAAGACATGCTTTGGAGTTGGGTCCTCCAATGACAGCCACAGTAGTACCTTGGACATCACATCTATAGTTTGGAATGAATTTGCCCCATGTAGACAGAAGCTTCAGGGAAGTAAGATAAGTTAAGCTTCCAGTGAAGTAGTCATTATAAATGCTGAAACCCAGGGAGATGTTATGCAACATCTGGATATTCTCATTGATCTCCTTCACAGCAAAGACAAAAGCCAAGATGTGCTGGTAGGTCTGAGTCACAAATCTGCAATGAGATTTAACTACATCATTGAATTGTCTCAATTTAAGGCTTGCTAGATTCCTTTGGTCACCTGCCTTTTCATTATCAGTCTGTCCCTATGGAGCATCCTGGCCCCTGAGTTTTAGCAGATCTACATCTCCTTAACCTTCTAGAAGGCCATAAAGTCCTGGTTAACACAAGCACTGGCACTGGCACAGGGTGAAAAGACAGCTTGAAGATGATGTAGTTGGCTGCATCAGGGCAAATTGGTTGTGGTGCCAGTATTTTTATGGTATTTTTTTTATGCTTTGGTTTTATATTGCTGCCTTGAACTGCCTGTGTTTTAACTGATATGGAGGCTATATCAGTCTAATGAATAAATATTAGTGGATCATACATGGGGCTCCCCTTGAAAAGCACCCGGAGGCTCCAACTGGTTCAGAATGCGGCCGCGCGGGTGGTTATGGGCGCAACTCGTTGTGCCCACGTGACATCCCTCCTGCGCGAGCTGCACTGGCTCCCAGTGCTCTTCCAGGTGCAATTCAAGGTTTTGGTTACCACCTTTAAAGCGCTCCATAGCATCGGACCTGGGTACCTTCGAGACCATCTTCTGCCACCAGTAGCCTCCCACCGGCCAGTTCACTCCCACAGAGAGGGTCTCCTCAGGGTGCCATCGGCCAAATTATGTTGGCTGGCAACACCCAGGAGGGCCTTCTCCGTGGGAGCCCCTGCCCTTTGGAATGAACTGCCCCCAGAAATGCGTAAGATCTCCGACCTCCGTGTATTTCGCTGTGCCCTCAAAACCTTGTTGTTCTGCCAGGCCGGGCTATCAATGTAAAGATTTTAATTGGTTTTAAATGTGGGATTTTAAATTTGGGGGTTTTATAATTGAGCCAATTATTTAATAATTTTAATTATGTTTAAATTTTGTTTGTCTTTGTGCTTTTAATCGGGCTGTACACCGCCCTGAGTCCTTCGGGAGAAGGGCGGTATAGAAATAAAATTATTATTATTATTATTATTATTATTATTATTATTATTATTATTATTATTATTATTATTATTATTGACATGCATAAATGCACCAATGTGCCTACCATCTCTGTCTTACTGTCCCCACTTATTCGTATCACGTTTCCTGTAATCACGTTTATATGAATATTTGTTATCTTATACATGGTTGACAAAATAAATAAATAAAATAATAATAATAATAATAATAATAATAATAATAATAATAATAATAATCCGCCAGTCAAAGAAAAAGAACTGGAAAAAAAATCACAAAATATCGCGACCTCGCCATTGAAACTACGCGATGAACTAATTACAGCTAGAATGCTAATTTTCATTTCTAACAAGAGAACATTTATGAAAGAAAATAGCATATGATTTGGGGTGTTTCCAGTGTAGTGGTAAAGGGTCCCCTCCTTGAATACTTGAAACTACATTCATTATCAAACCTATGGGATGCTCCCCAGACATATTGAAATAGATCTTAAAGGCCATTCAGATCTATCTAAAATTCTCTTTGCAGAAAGTTGAATTAAATCCTGAATGGTGACAGGGAGAAAACTCAGTCAGGAACCTATGGCCCAAATTGTTTCTATTCACTAACAATAACTCAAAGACAGTATAGTTAGCATACTAAATTAGAAATAAATTATAATATGGTCACACAAATGGGTTTATCTAAAATATTCCAATATTATACCATGATTTTTACAGTGTCTACATTTTTCTTTGTTTTGCTTCTGCCTTTCTTTGTCTTTCAATCGCATGGGCCAAAGATATATAAGCCCTGGTTCTGGTTTTGCTCATTGGCATTTAATGAAGTATTAAAGCTTTGCTTGGGCCCAATATATACTATATTATTGTTTGTATGCATGCAAATAAACTTATGCAACTTTGATTTAGGTGAGCCTAGATTTGGTCACAATAAAGGAAAGTGTTATACCAACCACATATCCTTGCACGATTTAGTCATGGATTGCATGCTTTATTAATAGATGTTTTAGATTTCAATTCAGTTGAACATCCTAGTTTTGGCGCAATTAGTTTAGTCGGTCCTCAACAGTGCTAAAGAAATTCATCTTCTGTCCTGCACAATAACAAAATCCCATCCTGACATTGTTTATGGAATTATGTCTTTGTGATCTCTCTGTTCTCCGGAGTAGCTATTACTTAATTAGTTATTAAATATGTTCAGTTACCTTTAACTTCACAGTTCACAATGAAAGTATTTTGGGTATTTTTTAATGGGGAAATAAGTTAGCATCAATTTTTCTTTACTGTACCAAAAAAGTGAAATGAATAATTCTCATGAAATTTATTGCAAATTACAGAAGAACTATCGGGAGAATATTAATGACACAGAATGGGTAGTGGAATCAGTCCCAATCATTTCTATCCATTGTCACTTACTCAGGAATGTTAACTAAATTGGTGAGAATGTGTTCACATTTCTAATAGTCCTTTAATTTGAATAAATAATTCTGAGCCATTAAAGCATAAATCACACTATATCCCTTAATACTCACTGGAGAAGAGCCTAATGCTGGGAAAGATTGAGGGCAAAAGAAAAAGGGGACGACAGAGAACGAGGTGGCTGGACGGAGTCACTGAAGCAGTAGGCGTGGACTCCAGAGGATGATAGAGGACAGGAAGGCCTGGAGAAATGTTGTCCATGGGGTCACGATGGGTCAGAAACTACTTCACAAAAACAACAATCCCTTCATGCTAATGATTGAAAAGTCATGCTTGCTTCATCTTCTGTTCTGCACAATTACAAAATCCCATCTTGATATATTGTTTATAGAATTATATCTTTGCAATCTCTCTAGTCTGCAGATTAGGTATTCATTATTAAATACAATCAGTTTATTTATTTATTTTTTAATTTTGCAATTCATAACGAAAAATTGGTGTTTTTCTAAGGAAAATAAGTTAGCATTGATATTCCTTTGCCTACACCAAGAAAGCGAAATGAATAATTTCAATCTAATGTATTGCAAATTACAGAGGAATTGTCATGACACTAATAATAATAACAGGAGACAGAGTGGGAAGCAGAATCAGTAACAGTAATTTCCACCCACTTAACTTGTTACTTTGCTCAGGAGTGTTATTGAAAGGGGTAAGAAAGTGTTCAGACAGTTCTTTAAATTGGATAAAAATTCTGACCCACTGAAGCATAAATCACACTATTATCCCTTAATGCTAATGATTGAAAAGTCATGCTTGCTCTTACTGTCAAAGACTAGGGAGAAGCCCATACCACCTGGAATATTTGGTGTAAATTACCAGTTGCTTACATGAGGTCATCAAAGAGTTCAAAAGCAGGATGCCTTTTGAAGTTGAGAGGGTTGGAAAATATGTAGCTCTGCGAACTAATGCCAGCTATGATCGCATCCCCTGACTGATAATACTTGTGGTTGATTTTCCGAGGGTCACTGATTATGCATTTAGCAGCCGGGGCATCACACCCTGCTGAAGGAAGCAGCATGAGAATTGAAAAAATAAACTTCATTCTCTCCCATTCACATCTTCTCCTTAGCATCAAGTCACCTCTTCCTTTACAATCATTCAAGTGTTGGTGTTCTACTGTGATCTTCTAAGCTGGCTTGTCCAAGAATGCCAGCTTCATCAGTAATTCAGGAGTCCCAGGTGCTTTAAAATCCCTGCCATAAAAGTTCCAGCAGAGATCAACATTATTCCTTAAACTTAATTCACTATTTGGGTAGTTACTACCAAAAAAAAAAAATCCCTTCTCACCTGGAGGAGTTCTCCAAGTAATCAGCATCAATTGGATAATTATGGGGAATTTAAGCTCCTATTTATTATTAGATGTCCATGTAGCAGAAGAAAACAATGTTTCCCCCTACATGCTTCAGTAAAAGTTTTTTTTCCCCTGAAAAAGTTTCAAAAGAACAAAAATTCCTGCAGGCAAGATGTCAAAAGTGATCATGTGGTGCAACCAGTGGTAGGTTTCATTTTTTTTTTACTACTGGTTCTGTGGGTGTGACTTGGTGGGCATGGCTTGACTTAGTGGGTGTGGCAGGGGAAGGATACTGTAAAATCTTGGAGCCTTGGTAGTACAGTGGTTTAATGCACCCTGTTATTAACACAGCTGCCTGCAATTACTGCAGGTTCGAATCTTGCCAGTCTCAAGGTTGACTCAGCCTTCCATCCTTTATAAGGTAGGTAAAATGAGGACCCAGTTGTGGGGGCAATAAGCTGACTTTGTATAAATATACAAAAGGATAAAGGCTATTGCTTAACGCATTGTAAGCCGCCCTGAGTCTCCGGAGAAGGGCGGCATATAAATCAAATTAAAATAAAAACTAAAATAAATAAAAATAAAAATCTCCATTTCCACCCCACTCCAGGGGAAAAATACTGTAAAATCTCCATTCCCTCCTCAATCCAGGAGAAGTTTACTGCAAAATCCCCATAGCTCAAGACAGTAAACATATCACACACACCTTCCTCTTCCCCACAGTAGCAACCTCTGTGTGATGAGTTGTGTCAGAATATTCATAAACTGGAATAGGGCTCAATAACAAGATCTGCCAATGTATAGGGATAGCAGCTAAGTCAGCCAATGGGAGCTGATTGGTGACCAAAACAGATTTGGAGCTTGGGCTTGGCTTAGCTCTGTGCTCAGCTCTGAAACCGAAACTAGTCTGTTCTGCTGAATTGAAACTGAAACTGTTCTCTCCTCTGTCTGTGTTTGCTTGTACTTGCTACCATGTTGGAAAACCTGTTTTTGGTATTGTAAATCTATTTCATGTGTATAAAGAGAAGTTTATTTATAAATAAAATTTATTTACTTATTTGTTTGTTTGTTTCATACATATAAAGAGAAGTTAATGAATCTTGATGAATCAGTTACCTGTGTGTGTGCTTTCTGGATTTGATTTCTGCAATAAACTCTGACAAGTTGGCCTTAGCGTGAGTGACTGGCCCAAAAATTACTCAGCTGGCTTCTGTGTCTTAGATGGCATTTGAACTCGCCTCCTGATTTCTAGTCTAACTTGCTAAACAGAACCCAAAATAAAATTGCTCAAGACTCTTATGAGTCTGCTTTGTCTACTGATCTTGCTTTCAGCTATTAGAAAGGACCATATCTAGTAATATTAGCTTGCCCCCTGGTTGATCTCGGTTCAATCACTAATACAATTCCTATCTTATGTGTTGTGAAGGCACTGTCATTCAACAGAGATGCTTCCTTTTCCTTAAATTTCTGCCTTTCTGCTAAACAATGATAATGAACTGATACGCATCAACTGAATCCTCCTGTCCCTGCTAGAGAGAAATAGATTGTTCGGACAGTCATCTTTTGTGTTCCGGTCTGCTAAGTGGCAGGACTGTAAACCTCTCATTTTATTTTCCTTCCTTCCTTCCTTCCTTCCTTCCTTCCTTCCTTCCTTCCTTCCTCCCTCCCTCCCTCCCTCCCTCCCTCCCTGCCTCCCTTCCTGCCTTCCTGCCTTCCCTGCCCTTCTCGTATCCAATGATTCTGGCAGCTTATAACATAAGACTTCTGAGTTGAGATCTGATATTATAGTATATATATTATAGACATTAAAACTTGGACCACACATCTTCTGAATAGTTTTTATCCCAGAGCTATAATTGCACTCAACAATGAACTAAAGGGCCACCATCAGTGAGCTGTTGGACAGCATTACTTGGTCTGTTGTGTGGATGTTTGGGTGGTTTAGGGTGCGGAATTGTGGTGGGTGGGAGTGTGTTTGGGGATTGTTATGTGTGTTGGACCTGGTCTTTGAATTTTGTTGTATGGGTATACTGTGTATACATGTATAATGACAATAAAGTTATTGTTGTTGTTGTTGTTGTTGTTGTTATTGTTATTGTAGTGTGGTTGACTTACTTATTTTCAAATCTTCAAATGTGTGGCGGGTCCTGGTGGGACCTAGAAGAAGGGCCTTCTCCCTCCCTCTGGAAAATCATTCCTCCAGAGATTAGAATGGCCCCCACACTAACACTCTTCTGGAAGGGGCTGATGATCTCGTTCTGCCAGCGGGCCTGAGGAACCCAGAGCAGCATGGAGCCCATTAAATGGCTCATGTGATCTACTATCGCCGAGGCAGGGTGGGTGGGGATGATTTTATTTTATTTTATTAATATATTTGATTCTTTTTATTAGTTTTATTGTTTTAAATTAGGTTTTATATTCTGTAAGCCGCCTTGAATCTCAACATGTGAATAGGTGACAATATAAATTCAATAAATAAAATAATAAATAAATAAAATAAATACACTTCCTGGTTTAGATAACACCTTTAAAATATATATTTTAAAAAGGATACATTGTTTGAATATTATTGAAAAAGAGATCTTCGCTGCTTCAGGAGAGCATTCTGGGACTGCCAGTTCTAAGATATTGAGAAGCCATTAAGAGTTTATCTGCTGAAAATATGGTGGTTTGAAGGTGCTCCAAAGCAGCTTTTTGCTTCTAAATTGAAATGAGGCCCAGACTTTTCATCTAATTTATTATTTATTTCATCAAGTTTTATTTGGTGAGGAAAATGAAGAAGCCAGAACAGGAAAAATTTCACAACTAATACTTTATCTATAAACTGATCCTAAACCAAAAGGATGCAAAAGAGGACTTCCGGTTTGGCACTGTGGCAATTTAGTCAGGGAAGTAGTGGGGGGGGGTCTAATGAGCCCCGCGAAAACCCCGACTGTCAAACCGCCGCCAACAGGTCTGCGGACTGAACTTGTCCTGTAGGGACAGGGGAAAGAGAAGGACACCTTGGACGGCCGAGAGGAACAGGCAAGTTCCTCAGAGGCCGGATGAAACCCTCTGAGTCGGTGGCGGGGGTGCGGCAGCCATGGCGGCTGCCTCGAAGCCGGGGCAAACCAGAGAAGCACTGTCCAGGAGGAAGAAAGAAGAAAAGAGTGAAGTATTCGGAAGCCGGGTGAGTGACACCAACCCAGGCAGGAACAACGCTAGAACATGGATTTTTACAAATAACCCCCCGGCCTTAAATAGCGGCTATGGATCTGTGGGGCAAGAAGATCTAGTAAAATAATTTGCAGGAGGAAAAGACCCATTAAGGAGCTTATTTTATTACAGACCAATTTGGAATAATCTGTTTATTGAAACAAGTTAGAAAATTGAGAAACTTTTTAAAATTGGATTAGATTACTCTTGGAGAAAGAAAAAAGCGATAAATAGGAACCTGATAACTTTAACAGCTAAAAGAACAGAGACAAACCAGATGACCACATAATTGACAAAATGGAGAATTGCTGTGACTAAGTGGAAGTGTGAATTGTAGATTGCTTTTGGCTTGAAAGAGAAACAATGTGTTTTGTTATCTAAATTGCATTACTTTGAAAATAACCAAGGGTTTTTGACTTTGGGGATTCCTAATTTGATTATGGGCGGTTTTATTGGTTGAAAGAAAGAAGAAATATAATGGAACTACTAAAATTGAAACTAGCTGGCACAGGAATGAAAGAAAATGGCATAGCAATAAAAGAAAAGAAGCTGATTGTTACAATTAGAAACAAAGACCCATTAAAGATTTTGCTTTAGTATAACTGAGTTGGAAGAATTGGCTTCTAACAAAATAGAAAATTGGTTTGTTTGTTTTATTTCTTTTTTTTTCTTTAACTGGAATGGATTTGAGAAGCATTATTTCGGGATTTAACACCTTTGGGAAGTTAAAGAAGAGAGACAAATGGATGGTTACATAATAGCTATAAAATGGGGACTGCTGTGACTAAGTGGAATTTGGATTTTAGAGATCCTCCTTCTGTTTGGAAAAGAAACACTTTGAATTGCTATTTACTTTGGATTACTTTGAAATTAACTATAGACTTTTAGACTTTGGAGACTCCTATTCTGTCTTTGGGTGACTTTACAAAGAAAGAAGAAATACACTGGATTTATTAAAATTGAAACTAACTGGCTTAGCAACAAAAGATGTGGTGCAGGAACAAAAGGAAGGAAGCTGATGGATTTTATATGGAGCAGCTGTTATAAAAAAATTAAAGTGATATATGGAGTTTCTAATATGGAAATAGGGACTTTGAAGTGGAACATTTATGGACAGATAGGGAAATGAAGAAATAAAGCAGATAAAATTAAAATGTAATGTTTATAAGCTAAATATATAAATGATTTTTAGATAAAAACAGGAGGGATCCTGAAGTAACAAAGATGGGAAATAAAAGAAGGTAATTAAAATAGAGGATCGATGTATAAGTGGTTAAAAATGATATTTGTATAAAAACACAAGAGTATATACCAGTATGAAATAAATCTAAGAAAATTTATTGTTTGATGTAACATGTTTTAATTCTAATTTCTAAACAAATTTGAGAAGGGTAAATACAACTGATTAATGTATTACTGGATGAAAATATTATTAATTAAGAATTTAATGTATGCTGGAAATGATTAATATTATGAAATGTTTTGAGAATTAATTTGGAAGAGTATATTGGGAAACAGCTAAATAATTGACAAATATACTGCAAGGAAAAAGTTAAAATAAGAGATGCTGGGTACCAGCGAAACACGAGTTGGAGTTCTGGAGGAGAATATGCTGGAAATCAGCCAAAATAAAATATGCTGGAAATCAGCCAAATAATAGTTGGAGGTATGGAGGAGATTATGCTGGAAATCAGCCAAACAATAGTTGGAGGTATGGGGGAGAATATGCTGAAAATCAGCCAAAGTAAAATATGCTGGAAATCAGCCAAATAATAGTAGGAGATATCAAGGAGGATATGGATTTTGAGATAAATCTGTGTAAAATGAAATGTGTAATAGATGATAAGCATGAGAAAATTAAAGGTAAAATAATAAAGTCTAAGATTTAAAGATTTGATGAAATGGGCCTAGAGATTAAGAAATATGGATAGAATTTTGTTCTATAAATTGAAATAAAAATAGAGTTGTATTTAATTTGAAATTTGTGGTGATAAAATTGTAAGGTAAATAATTAGATTAAGAGGTTAGAATATTTTTTAAGATTAATGTTTTGATTCTGAGGTTAAAAGACATATTGAAGGGAAATTGGGAAAGAACCAGATATAATTTGGATTTATAAATGGCTATAAAAATGAGTTAAGTTTATTTGGAAATTAAATTTGTGGTGATATAATAGAATGATTTAGAGTAAAATGTTAGAATTTATGTTAAAAAAATTTATGTTCTGATTTTTAATTTTAAAAGATGTAATGGGAAATTGTGAATGGAGCTTGTTAAAGAAATGTAAGCGGTTGTACCTATCTATGACCGGATCAAGACTTCCTTCTTGAAAGATATATTTTATGTTTATGTTTGGAAAAAAAAAATATTTTTTTTAAAAAAAAAGGATGCAAAAGAGCTTAATTCTAGATAAATGTAACCAAACCATAATATTAAATGATTCTGTTTTCCCCTAGATATCTGAAATATTAAACAGCCTTATGTAGTTTTATGGTTTTTTGTGGGTTTGTCTTCTAAGCTGTTCTTTGTTGTTTAGAGCAGGCCTCAGCACAATGATGTAACATTTAGGAAAAAAGATACAAACCAGTAACCCAACACTGGATGATATAATGGAGAAGATCTCCACAGCAACCATATATTTCCCCTTAGTGCTCAGATATGTTGGAACAAAGGACAGCCAAACACTACAAAAGACCAACATGCTGAAGGTGATAAACTTGGCTTCATTGAAAACATCAGGCAAATTCCTGGCTAGGAAAGCCACTGTAAAGCTGATAATAGCAAGGAGACCCATATAGCCCAAGATACAGTAGAACATGAAGACAGATCCTTCGTTACATTCTAGTATGATTTCTTCTACCACTGAATTCATGTCAGCATCTGGAAATGGAGGAGAGGTTGTCACCCATGTAATGGAAATAATACCTTGAATACAACAACAGCCCAAAATTATGAAAATGACAAGTCTTTTCCCAACCCATCTGCTCATTATGGACCCAGGCTTAGTGGCCATAAAAGCCAGAACCACAATGATGGTTTTGGCCAACACACAAGAAATGGCCATGGAAAAGATCATCCCAAAGGCTGTTTGACGAAAGAGACATGTTACCTTGCCAGGTTTTCCTAGGAATAACAATGAACAAAGAAAAGACAACATGAGACCAACAAGGAGAGCATAGGTGAGATTCCGGTTGTTGGCTTTGACAATGGGAGTGTCCTGATGCTTAATAAAGATCCAGAGGATTGTAGCTGTGACCAAAGCAAAGAAAAGAGCAGAACTGGCCAATATAGTTCCCAAAGTTTCTTCATACTTCAAAAATGTTATAATTTTGGGGAGACAATAATCCCGCTTCTTATTAGGGTACTGATCTTCTGGACATTGAAAGCATTCATCCATGTCTAGAAAATAAAATAATAATTTACATATTTACTGAAAGAATCAAAACTGAACATGACAGTATTAAGAAAAGAGAGCTGTGGTTTAACATGTGAATATCAAATACACTGGAATACTTCCAATAGTTATATTTGGGAAACCCTTTGTCCTAAAATACATTATTTGGCATCATATTGGAATTCAGTCAATGAGTCTAATGAATATCTCATTGGGTCAATTTTCTGTGGGCCATTAAATCTGAGCAGGCAAACTTCATTTGTGATCTTCAACAAGATATAGTTTGTCTAACAATATTTTAATCTCTGTTGATCCCAGAGATGGAGATTTTTGCCATTTGTTTTATACATCGCTAGGTGCAGTTCCTTATATTTGTCATATACAATATCTTAATTGACAAATAGCAAAGCCTTTAGCTATGACAGTTTTAGGAGAAAGAGGGCTTTATTATTGTGGCCCACCAGCGGCCAGCAGAGCTGGCGGCAGACTTGGACAGTGAGGAAGTTGGGGAGGAACATGGGCCAGTCCTAGAATCTGGGAAGGCTCTGATGAGTGCTCTGCATCAGAAGCAGAGATGGGCCAGGGCCATCCGACAATTATCAGCTACCTTCAGGGTTGGAGTTAAGTGAGGCTGAAGAACAGCTGGAGCCTGTTCCCAATGTGCACATGTGCAGAGCTGCCAGGAGAAGGGAACAGATAAGGAACAAGGGCTGACTCGGGAGTAAAGGCACAGGTGGACGGTGAATGGCCCCTCCCATAGGGAATAAAGAGGAGCGAAAAGGGAGTGGAGTTTTCAGGAGACAAGTAGTTCATTTAATTAGTATGAAGATCTGTTTGTGACTCTCAGAGATTCCTTGCCAAGTATTTTCTTGTACAGCATTGTCATTTGGAAGATATAGGCCTGGCAGCTCTCCAAGCCTGATAAGGTCTGTGGTTGTAAATTCACCCATGAAAGACTGTTTGCCAGGACTTTGCTGGATGTGAATGAGAGGAATTCACATTAGCTTAATAAAAAGGGATTTTGTCGGGACAAGGAGTCTGCTTCGTGCTTTTGTGAAGCCTAGGTCAGAACACTCACCTCTATCAGTCTTCCACTCTATATGAAAGGGGACAAGTTTGATACTGAACACTATTGCCCTGCCTGCCTCTTCTCGGTAATGAGAAGCCAGGTATTTATTTATAAACTCTTGATTAGATGCTTTGCAAGAATATCTAGGTTTCGGCGCACACAGAGTTCAGACATAATAATTCAACATGGGTTGAATTTTTATTTAGATATGTATTTCCAATAAAACAAAAGCAAGAACTCACCTTCTTGGTTGGAAATCTTCCCATATGGACATTTCACACAATCATAGCAGCAAAATGGCTTCCCTTCTATCTTGCTTCTGACATAACCTGAATGGCACTTGCTATTACACAGAGATAGTGGTTGGACCTACTCATGAGAGAAAGAAGAAAATGCTTTGACAAATGCTGAGTACTAAATGCTTAGTACTCAGTGATTACACAGTATTATCTGGTGTGACTTTTCTACTGTCACATATGAATTGTCTAGTAGTTCTTGCTAAATAAGAAAACATATTTGTTTAAGCTAATATACCAGGTTACTTCAGCTCTCTTTTTTAAATATACCCATCCCTCCATTCACACCAGAGGTGGTATTCAGCAGGTTCTGACCAGTTCTGAAGAACTGGTAGCGTAAATTTTGAGTAGTTCGGAGAACCGGTAAATACCACCTCTGACTGGCCCCACCCCCATCTATTCTCTGCCTCCCAAGTCCCAGCTGATCAGGAGGAAATGGGGATTTTGCAGTAACCTTCCCCTGGAGTGGGGTAGCTTTGGAGATTTTACAGTATCCTTCCCCTCTCACACCCACCAAGCCATGCCATGCCATTCCCTCCAAGCCACACCCAAAGAACCGATAGTAAAAAGTTTTGAATCCCACCACTGATTTCACATGTTATCATAGAAGCTACCCAAGATACCACCAGGTGGATTGTAAAGGACTTCACGTTGCTTGAATTTAATTGCTGTGTGGGATTTTGGATTTAAGAGAACTTCAAGAATGGAGGAAAGATATTTCACTATAAGTCAAATACGTGGTTTGCCTTACATGGTTAAACCTCCTTGGCCATACAATATCTTCCTCATCAATGGTGAACAATGCTTCCTGGGAATCCATGGAGTTTATCCCTCCAACTTTAACTTTGAGAAAAGATAGATTTGGGAATGTGATCCAATTCATAATATCAAATCCAGTCTCCCATTCTCCATTTTGGTTGAAAGAAACTTTTTGTCCAGCACTATTATTGAATGAAACTCCTCTCATAAATTGGTTGAGCTGCAGTAGAAAACAACCCAAGAGAAGGTTAGACATAGATAGATGATAAATAGATTACATAGCTAAATGATAGAGAATAGGACACGACAGGACAGGACAGAACAGAACAGAAACCCAAGGTGATAGGATTTATTTCACCTTTCAAAAATAAAAATAATATTTTTTCAAAATTTATGAGAGGATAGTAGTCAATGCAATAACTGCATTAGTAAATAGTTCATCTTCTAAACCATCATTATTATGGAAAAATAAAGCAACTAAAATGCACAACAGATGTAAATACCAGGAATAATAAAACAGAAAATAAATAAAAATCATTTTTGTAGATTTGGATTTTTTTTTTCACCACTGAACTGTATCTTGTTGATCTCAATACTCAAATCTGTCAAGATCATTTTCAATCTCGAATTTATCTTTCAAAGAGTTTAAATTCCCCCCAGCTTAGTGTCATCTCAAAATTTGATGAGCACCCCGTAACCCTTCATCTTGGTTACTTATTAAGATGTTGGGGAGCTCAGGACCGAACCTTGGGATCCACCACTGCATGCTTCCCTCCATGTAGATGTAGTTCTATTGAGGATTACACAGTTCATCACTCAACTATAAATCAAATAAATAAATCAAAATTAAAATATAAATCAAATTAAAAAAAACTGCAAATCCATAGTGGTGGTATCCCACATTGTTCTGTCTTACCAAGAAGTAAGATGTGATTGACTTTATCAAATGCCTTATGGAAGTCTAAGTCTAATGCTAATGATGAGAGTCTTTTATATTTAGGCTACGCACACACATACACACACAGAGAGAGACATTAAAGATATGAATTATAGAAATCAAAATAGTCATCAAGGACTTCCTTTGAAACAAAATGGATCTGAAATGGATCGGGAAGGAGATATAGAAGCATAGCCAGCTGCACGAACAGGCTGAAGAACAATTTTTATCTGTGGGCTGGTTGTTAATATGATTTATTGGGTTAAGGATTTTCTGTCCTCACTGTGAGTTGTATTGGGGTGGGGTGGGGTACACACTAAGGGTACACAACCAGTCTCATTGTACATATGTTGTGCACTGACAATAAAGATTTGAATTTGAAATAAATACTACAGGGTGAGAAAGGTCTTAAAATGTGTAAGTTGAGGGAACACATAAAACTTAAGAAACTGTAAGGCACAATAAAGAGCTCAATTAACATAAAAAGAAAGACAGGCATAACAAATTGTACAGCTTTGTTCTAATGAATACTTAGATGTCATAATTTTTAAAGACATTAATTGGATTCTAGCTAAAGATATGACATTTAACAAAAGTATATGCTTAAGAGCCTTAGTGGCACAGTGGTTAGAATGCAGTACTGCAGGCTACTTCTGCTGACTGCCAGCTGCCTGCAGTTTGGTAGTTCTCACCAGGCTCAAGGTTGACTCAGCCTTCCAAAATCAGTAAAATGAGGACTTAGATTGTTGGGGGCAATATGCTGACTCTGCAAACTGCTTAGAGAGGGCTGTAAAGCAATGTGAAGTGGTATAAAATAAGTTCAATGTGCTAGTGCTCATTCCCTTTGGAAGAATGGATTGTCAGATCATCTCCTACATGGACTTAATTTATATTTTGGATGTGGGTTGCAAATATGGTGAGCAGCCAGTAATTGGCTTGGCTTAAGAAATTACCTTCCACAACTTTTGAACTACATGTTTGGCATCATCTCCTCTAGCTCTGTATTCCATCATGGATGAATGGAAGTCATGGAAAGCATGTGCCATCACATGGATGGCATTGTAGATGCTATAGCTGTGGCCAGTCATGTCCATTTCAAACACGGATGTAGGAAGAGCTTCCAGTTTCTCCTTTCCAGTGCAGGGAACCCCATTTTCATTTTCATTCATCACAGGGATGGAGAAAGAACATTGGAAGGCACTTTCCCAGAAGAGCTTGATAAAAGGATCTCCTTTTTCCAAGATAGGGTTCTTCATCTGAACAAATTGCTGGAATCCTAACACTTTCTCTGTGTGAATTGAAAAAGACAGAGCACCATGGAGGAAGTCTAGGTCACTATTCCTCAGAAAGGGAAGTGAGGTGAAATCCATCTCAGCGGTCATGACCCAGATTTTACCCTTCCTCCATAATGGTGCATCTTCAATTTTCAAATTAGTGGAAAGAAGTCTCAGAGCTATAACTCCGTAAATTTCACCATGAACTAATACTACATTAACTGTGCTTTTCATAACCACCAGGTACATTTCAAGTCCTATTTCCACCAACTCAGCAATGCTACTTGAATCGATTATTGGAAAAGTTTCAATAAAGTCTGTGCAGATCCCTCTCTGGGCAAACATGGGAACCACATTTTGTACAAACTTGTTCCCGCTATCATTATTCACCGACAAGATCCCAATCCATGTCCATCTGAAATATAACAGTAATTGAAAAATGCCTTTATGTTGATGGTCCACAATTGGGAACATTTGTTGATGTAAGGAAGCCACTGTTTCTGTACTACTTTTGGTAGTGGAACCATAGACTAACTTAAAAAAACAAAAGAAAGAAAAATACAGGCAAAGAGTTAACAGGATACTTCTTTTTTTTCTTTTTCTAAAAAAGTAGTGTGAGAAGATATTATTTACACATTTAAGCTACAAGATATCTGCGTTTTCCCAAAAATAAGACCCTGTCCAGGGGTGAAATGTAAAATTTGTTACTACCGGTTCTGTGGGCGTGGCTTGGTGAGGGGGGGATGTGACTGGGTGGACGTTTTTTAACTTTTCAAAGCATTTTTTCTACAACCTCTTTGGCCAAAGAGGTTGCAGAAAAAAATGCTTTGAAAAGCCTCTGCCAATCAGGCAACTCAGCTGGGATCGTCAGAGGTTTTTCAAAACATTTTTTTTACCACCTCTTCGGCTGAAGAGGATGCATTAAAAATGCTTTTAAAAGCCTCTCTGCCGATCAGGCAACACAGCTGGGATCGTCAGAGGCTTTTCAAAGCACTTTTTTTTACCACTCTTTGGCTGAAGAGGTTGCAGAAAAAAATGCTTTGAAAAGTCTTTGACGATCCCAGCTGAGCCGTGTAATCATCAGAGGCTTTTTTAAAAAAACTTTTAAAAGCATTTTTTGGTGGAAGAGGTTGTAGAAAAAATGCTTTTAAAAGTAAAACAAAAAAAGCCTCTGATGATCATGCGGCTCAGCTGGTCATGGTGCAGGAATTTTTACTACTGGTTCTCCGAACCACCTGCCGCCATCGCTACCAGATCGGGCGATCGGGTCCGAACCGGGAGTATTTCACCCCTGACCCTGTCTTATATTTTTTTGCCACCAAAAAAGGTACCAAGTCTTATTTTCAGGGAGGGATGTTGTCCATTGACTCGCCTCCCTTGTGTGTGTTGCACCCGGCCTCCTTTTCGCTGTCAGAGACCTTCAGAAACTTCTTCTGCAGCTGGAAAGGCTTTTTTGAAGGCCTCTGTAGCTGATAACAGAGCTCCAGATCAATCTTGCTGACCTTGCCGGCTGCAGAAGAAATGGTCTGGCAGGTGTCGGGTGTGCGAGGCCTGGCTGCAACTATGTGAAGGTAAGTAGTAGAGCAGTTCTACACCCTCATCCCCACTAGCTTAATTTTTACCCATGCACCCTGGAGTGGGCGGCAAGCTTAATTAGGGCTTATTTTGGGGGTAGGGTATATATTAGGCACACTTGTAAAAATCAAGCTAGGACTTACTTTCAGTGTCGGTCATATTTTCAGGGAAAACAGGGTATTAAGGTTCAACACATATTTCATACTTGTGAACCTATACTTCACAAACATATTCAGAATGTGACATTTGGAAATTGTTATCACTCCCAAGGCTGAGGTGCATTAGCAAATTTGATCAAATTCACACTGTTGTGCAAAAAATTTCATGACTGTTATACTAGTTAAACATTTAGCATTTTCCAACTTGGCTTTCCACTTTTATATTTTAACAGACATTTTAAATATTTTTCCTACAGTACATCAGATGCTAATAATGAAAAATTCCCAGTAAGATTAATTTCATTCCGCCACCAATTTCCCCAATTG